ATTATGAAATATACTGTAAAAGTCAATGTGCTAATGTCAGAGACTGGACACCAATAACTACCATGCATATTATTTTCAGGGATTTCCGTTTTCTATTTATAGCTTCAAATGCCTAAATATAGACATGTCTCATAAAATGATGAAAAATGTAAATTTTTCCTCATTTTGAAGCTCCACTGAATCATAAATAATAAGTATATGGATCTCTCCAATATTTCATCAATTAGAACAAGGAATAGTATAATATCTCACAAATTATTGAGGACAGGCTCTCATCTCTATAAATAGTACAAATGTCTAAAAATAGACACATATGAAATTAACTGTTTAATGTTGATTTTCCACTAATTCTCAAATTAGAGATATGAAATTTACCAACTTACAGTCACTAACTGTAACTGATATTATGTGACTGACAAGAACAAAAGAACATTCAATGGAATGCAGCATGATAAGCAAAGGTTTTCATTTCTATTTATAGTAACACATGTTTAAAAATAGAAGTGATGCAAAATATCGGGAAAATGTCGTTTTTTGTACTTTTTTCTAAATTTTGGATGAATAATTGTTGACTCTCTGTTTTTAACTGCTATTGGCATATGGTGACCAACAAGTAAAAGAAAGCCTTATATCAAATACAGAATGAGAAGCAGAGGTTTCCATTTCTATTTATAGTAACACCTGTTTGAAAACAGACGTACTGTAAACTATCGGAAAAATGTAGTTTTTTGTACTTTTTTTCACATTTTGGATGAGCAATTGCAGACAATATGTTTTTACTGCTATTGGCATTCACTGACCAACAAGTAAAAGAAAGCATATATGAAATACAGAATGTGAAGCAGAAGTTTCTATTTCTATTTATAGTAACACATCTTTGAAAATAGACATTCTGCAAATTCTCGAGAAAATGTAGACTTTCGCACTTTTTTTTCTAAAATCAGGGATGGTCAAAGTGCGGACAAACGGCTTTTTTTGTTATTGACAGAATGTGACTAACGAGTATGAAAAAGCTTTAGCTAAAGTGTATAAGAGTAATGTTTAAGGGTATTTTTACATTTCTGCCTATAGTAACACATATTTATAGATAATCAGGAAAATAAAGAATCATTCGTTTTTCTCAAATTATTGACAGAATGTGACTAACGAGTATGAAAAAGCTTTAGCTAAAGTGTATAAGAATAATGTTTAAGGGTACTTTTACATTTCTGCCTACAGTAACACATATTTATAAATAATCAGGAAAATAAAGAATCATTCGTTTTTCTCAAATTAGGGATATGAAATTTGCAGTCAAACTTCATTAGCTGTAACTGACATGGCTAATTGTATTCGGTGCGCCAGCGCGTCCACCTCATTCCAATACATATATCACAAAAGTATGTTCTCCCTGCATTAAAACACTCAAATGACAGCGATTTTCTTTATAAATTAAGCATTATCGTTTATACTCAGGTCGACAGCCCCAGCTCGATTGAAATTCTTTTGTTAGGTGGATCCAGAAAATTTTCCCTAGGAGCCGTTGTCTCAATTCACTATGTCAGTTTAAACTAGAACTGTCCAAACGGGACTAAATACCCCCGCTGGGTTTTTCAGAGGTGCTAAATCGTGAATATTTAATGGATCTTATTCTAAGAGAAGAGAGAAATGCTAAAGCATTTTTAATGCAAATGTAATTGCTCATAATATTTTCATAATTAAATGAAACGAAGGCGCATCCTAATAAAAAAAAACAGACTAAATATACGGACCAGACACGAATTACGAACTTTTTCTGTCAGTGACCTTGACCTTGCATTAATGGCCTTGGATCAAAGTAATGACAGAAAATCAGGTAATAAGCAATGTTTGTGTGAAGTAGTAGATTCAAGTTTAGCCATAAAAAAGATATAGACCAGACATAAATAATTTTTTCTTAAGTGACCTTGAACTTCCCCAAATGACCTTGCGTCAAGGTTATGACACACTCTTAGGTCATGAGCAGTCTTTGTGTGAAATGAGAACCTACCAAGTTCATCCATAAGAAAGATATGGAGCGAACACGATTATGAAATTTTTCTTCAGTGACCTTGAACCTTGAAATTTTCTGGATTTTCAAAGAATTTCAATCGGACTTGGGCTGTCGACCTGAATATAAACGATAATGCTTAATTTATAAAGAAAATCGCTGTCATTTGAGTTTTTTAATGCAGGGAGAACATACTTTTGTGATATATGTATTGGAATGAGGTGGACGCGCTGGCGCGCCGAGTACAATTAGCCATGTCAGTTACAGCTAATGAAAGTTTGATTGCAAATTTCATATCCCTAATTTGAGAAAAAACGAAAGATTCTTTATTTTCCTGATTATTTATAAATATGTGTTACTATAGGCAGAAATGTAAAATTACCCTTTAACATTACTCTTATACACTTTAGCTAAAGCTTTTTCATACTCGTTAGTCACATTCTGTCAATAACAAATAAAAGCCGTTTGTCCGCACTTTGACCATCCCTGATGTTAGAAAAAAAAGTGCGAAAGTCTACATTTTCTCGAGAATTTGCAGCATGTCTATTTTCAAACATGTGTTACTATAAATAGAAACAGAAACCTCTGCTTCACATTCTGTACTTTGTATATGCTTTCTTTTACTTGTTGGTCAGTGAATGCCAATAGCAGTAAAAACATATTGTCTGCAATTGCTCATCCAAAATGTGAAAAAAGTACAAAAAACTACATTTTTCCGATAGTTTACAGTATGTCTATTTTTAAACTCATATTACTATAAATAGAAATGGAAACCTCTGCTTCTCATTCTGTATTTGATATCAGGCTTTCTTCTACTTGTGGTCACTGTACTGACTCCGGACAGGAAATTAAGGAAACAACGTTGTAAATGCGTCCAATGATTTTATTTATGAGGATGATGAGATATGACGATGACAATGACATGGAAATATGACTTGAAGTTGAAGTTGACATGGAAATGACGTGAATGACGTTGACATAGAAGTAGACTTGGAAAATATGACGTGGAAATAACTTGGAAATGACGTGGAAAATATGACGACGATTTACTACAAAAAATACAAAGAAAAAATACTATAAATACAAGATATTTCAAGCAAGTTACACATAATAACACATCCTAGCAAATAATCATGATGTATTACATGTTCTAGAAAACACTTCCAATACACAAAAACTGTCGTCAAAATGTAAACAAAGAGGCATAACTCTTCTCGACACAAATCATGATAGAAAAACATGGCAATAAAAGATTTATCTCCCGTACGTAATAAATGTGCACATATCCAGCGAAATTACAATATGTATGTCAATATTGTACCTAATTTACTAATTGCATTATAATTATCACTCCAACATAGTGCACAAGTACTTTCAACAATAACTTGATAGCCAGGTTCATAAAAATGCTAACTTTACCGAGATGACAAATATACAGTGTATACAGCTAAATGATTCACATAGAAAAACTCACCAATTAGAAGTTTCCTCCGGTGAAATAAATATCAGTACAAAGACTGGAAAATATCATAGTAAACTAGCAAATGGCAAACTGGTAACAAATGCGGCACCAAGCCCTGCCGCGTTCTGCCATGATAACACGGGCTCTACACAAAAAATTACTATGCCCCAAAAACGATGACGTCACATCACACTAATGACCCTAAAAAGTCTAGTAACCGAAATGGCCGTAACAATCCAGCCCCCTAATTGTGGAACAAATGTGACACAATTACAAAAATAGATATATACATTATATCCATTAACCCAAAAATTGTATAAAAATACAATGCAAGTTAAACAGGTTACACTGTACTAAATTCTCATCAAAAATGATATATGCACATGATAAACATAATACCTAGCAAATTCAATACATGTACATGATAAAGAAGAATATTCATATATTCAAAGTCTCTAGTAAGCACATCTCAAACAGTCTCTTAGTCCATTCCTAGGATCATACACAGCTTATCGACAGGTCGCGTTAAAATGTTTGTCGAAGTTTTCACCTTGACCTGACGCACAAGTCCATTTCTGTCAGGAATTGTCTCATGTACTACTCCCATCGGCCAAGAGTTCCTTGGGGCGTTCGAATCTACAACTAACACAATATCACCGATTTGAAAGTTTCTCTTGATATCATGCCATTTTTGTCGTTCCTGGAGAAGTGGTAAGTACTCGCGTACCCAACGATGCCAGAACAAGTTGGCCATATATTGTATCTGTCTCCAACGGCGTCTGTGTTACAGATCTGTCTTATCGAAGACTCCTGGAGGAAGGTTAGGTTTCCTCTTCATCAAAAGCAAATGGTTTGGAGTAAGTGGCTCCAAGTCACCGTGTTGATCCGTGTTCTTGGTTATTGGTCGGTCGTTGATTGTATATTCAATTTCACACATTAGAGTATGAAGTCCTTCATCGTCAAGTGTCTGCTCCTTTAGTACACTATTCATGGCTTTACGAATAGATCTAATTAACCTCTCCCAGGCTCCCCCGTAGTGTGATCCAGCTGGTGGGTTAAACTGCCAGTCTACGTTCTTTTGTAACATCGCAGATTGGATCTGTGCTTGGTTCCATTCTTGTATGGATTTTTTAAGTTCACGTTCAGCACCAACAAAGTTAGTTCCGTTGTCAGAACGTATTTTCTTTACTTGTCCTCTTCTCGCTATAAAACGACGTAGTGCATTTATGTAGGAATCTGTATCCAACGAAGCTGCTATCTCTAGATGCACTGCACGACTAGCTAAGCAAGTGAATATAACACCATAGCGTTTCACACGGCTCCGTTTCACTTTGACTTCAAATGGTCCGAAGTAATCCACACCAACTCTGCTAAATGGTGGTTCGTCTGGGATAATACGATCTTTGGGCAGACTTGCCATCTTTTGCTCTCCAACCTTAGATCTCTGTCGTCTACAAGTAACACACTTTGATATGACTTTTCGAATTGCAGATGGAGCATGGATAAGCCAGTAACGTTCTCTCAGCTTAGCTAGCATATGATTTCTGCCACTATGTAACAAATCCTGATGAATTCAAGAATTAGAGTGGACACATGATGATCTTTGGGTAAAATCACTGGATGTTTCATCTCCTCTGGAAAACTTGACTTGTGTAAACGACCACCGACTCGCAAAAGACCAGCATCCAAAAATGGATCAAGGCTCCGGATTCTGCTACCATGACTGACACTAGAGTTTCTTGACATAAGGGTACTTATTTCCGTAGAAAATTCTTGCCACTGAATGAAACCAAGTATAGCTTTTTCTGCTTCTTTCAAGTCCTCATAGGAAATGTAAGCCTTGTCGCGAGAATCTTCCTGTACCATTGAGCAAGAATCGAGTCTTTTCACACGAACACGTCTCAACAGTTCTTTTCGTACCTTCAAAATCCAGGCTACACTACGTTTCAATAAATACCAAGACGAATGATGTTGAAAGAGTTCGTTAATATCTGCTGTATTCTCTCGTAATTCCTGTGATTTTGAGACAACTGTCTTTACAGTAACCTTTTTCACCTCTGGGTCATTGTCAAACAGTTCTGTGTCAGTGAGGTGTGAAGCTGGTGTTGGCCAATGATCCTCAGGTTCAAACAGGAAATTGGGGGGTGTGATCCAGTTCTCTTGTTTCAATAAGCCATCTACAGAGATACCTCTAGATGCATGATCCGCTGGATTCAACCTTGTGTTGATGTATCTCCAGTCAGTTGGTTGTGACCCTTCGTGGATAACTGCTAATCTGTTTGCAACAAAAGTATGAAATCTCGCCGTACTATTCTGAATATAACGTAGAACGGCCATGCTGTCGGTCCAGTATGTAATACGATGGACAGGAATGTTCAATTCTCTAAGTAACATCCTATTGGTTCTGACGGCTACCGTAGCTGCTGTCAACTCCAATCGTGGAATAGATGTTGTCTTAAGTGGAGCAACGCGAGATTTTCCCATAATAAAGGAACAGTGACGTTCACCAGAAGCGTTCTCCATGCACAAGTATGACACTGTACCATATCCAGTTTCGCTCGCATCAGCAAAATGATGTAACTGTACCATGAGTGGATGAAAACCATAAGGTTTCAGACATCTGTTCAGTTTGAAGTCCCTCAATTTCTCGAGATCTTGGTACCAATTATTCCACTGAATAGCAGTGTCATCTGGAATCTTATCGTCCCATCCAAGCTGAAGTTTGCACAATTCCTGCAGAATGATCTTGGCCTTGAGTAGTAGTGGAGCTAAGAATCCCAGTGGGTCAAATACGCCGCTCACCATTGACAGAATTCCCCGCCTCGTAAGTGGTTTCCTGTTGAAGTCCAGTTTAAACTGAAAGATGTCAGAATTCACACACCACTGGATGCCGAGGGCTCGCTCTACTGGTAGTGTATCGTGGTCAAGATCTAAGTCCTTGACCTCCTTAGCTCTATCGGATTTTGGTATCGAATACATGACCTCACGACTGTTGCTGATCCACTTCGATATATGAAATCCCCCACTTTCCAAGAGTCCCTGTAACTCTTTCACCAATGTCACAGCATTTCTTACAGAATTCACTGACTTCAGACAATCATCAACATAGAAATTCTGAAGAACTGTCTTTATTGTCTCATCACTAAAATGTCCTGACCAATCTTGAGCTGTTTTTCGTAAACAAAAGTTGGCGCAACTAGGTGAAGATGTGGCTCCAAACAAATGCACGATCATCTGGTACTCTAGTAAACTACTGGAAGGATTTCCATCTTTCCACCAGAGAAATCGTAGAAAAGTAGCGTCTTGTGGCGGAACACGTACTTGGTAGAACATACTATCTATATCTCCCATCACAGCAATTTCCTCCTCTCTAAATCGCATCAAAGTCCCGATGAGTGTGTTTGTCAAGTTAGGGCCTTGTAATAATTGTTCATTCAGTGAAGTCCCTTGGAACCTCGCTGCACAGTCGAACACAACTCGAAGTTTTTTCTTCTTGGGATGTAGTACACCATGATGCGGCAAATACCAAACGCGTCCATCATCTTGATTCAAGTCTTCTATAGGTACCTTTCGTGCATAGCCTTCGCTAATAATTTTGTCCATGAAGACTTTATAATTGTCATGGAATTCACTGTCACTGCAAAGTTTCTTAGCCAACGAATTCAGTCTCTGTTCAGCTTGTTTTCTGTTGTTTGGCATTATCACATTTTCTGATTTGAATGGTAGACCAATGACATAATGTCCATTTTCAAAGCGAACTGAATTTTTCACAAAGTCGAGAAATCTCCTGTCTTCCCTTGACGGCTCTGGAACATCATCGATAGCTCTTTCACTAAAGTCATGATTGAATTGGTATCTCACTTGCTCCTCTAATCTTGCGTCGATGCGGTTGGCTGTGACGTATGTACTGTAAGTACCATTCTCGGGTCTTGTATCTAGCGGTCCATTGATTACCCATCCTAACAGAGTCTTAACAGCGAATGGACCTTTGTGTACACTAGTAATCACATCCCATGGCTCCATTGCTTTTGGTACGTTAACACCAATCAACAAACCAACATCACTATCTATGGTGTCAATATGTACATCACGCAGATGCGGCCATCTATGTAGGTCCTCGGATGTAACGATGTCTTTCTTAGATATAGGCAGATCCGGTTGAGTGTATATAGGAGGTAAGTCAATTGTGTGATCACCATTTAAATCACTCACTTCAAGACCAGATAGAATGCAACAGTTCTCTGTCCTCTGCTGTCCCATGGTTGTTAAGTTAAGAACAGTCTTTTTGCCTTCAAGGTGTAGTGATCTTGCGATTTCCTCTGTACAAAATGTCGCTGTACTCCCAGAATCCAAGAAAGCATAAGTTGTAATAAATTTATCACTGTTTCTTGATTTCAGACGTACTGGTATGACCGGAAGCGCTTGCCTCACTGAGTCCCCAGCCCCCATATGCGCTGTTGAAGAAACGGCTGCAGATGAGCTGTTGTTGTTTTGATCGGTAGTCATTGGGTTTTCCTTGCCTTGTCGAGGATTCACATGAAGTATAGATGGGTGACACTTCTTACAGTGAACGCAGTATAACTTGTGTTGACAGGCTCCCTTAAGATGTCCTGATCTCAAACACGAGAAACACAGTCCCTTAGACTTCAACACTTCATATCTGTCCTTTAGGGGTAGCTTCATAATGTTCCGACACTCTTCCAATGAATGTGATGTGCCTTGACAATAAGCACATGGTTTCACAAATCCAGATGATTTTGGTCTATGTTGTTCATATGCATAATTGTTTGTAGATAGATGAGATTCCACGGTCTTAGTTGCAAAGTTCCCTTTCTGTTTTGAGAATGTGGCTGGTTTAACATTCTGTCCATGGGTTGAAGATGTTGAGATATTCATCACTTCTCTTCCACAGATAGGGTCGTTGGCCTTTTTAGCTTCCTTACGAACAAACTTCACTAAGTTCTCAAACTTCACAATTTCTCTTCTGTCTTTGAGCTCGTACACAACATTTCGCCACTTTTCTTGTAAGTAAAACGGAAGTTTCTTTATAATAAGTTTCATGTTCTCTGGATACTCTAAGGCTCTAGCGCTGGCTACGTTATTGACAGCATGCTGACACTCGGTAAGGAATATTGCATAGTCATCAAGTCCCCTTGCATTGTCTTGTTTTATTGATGACCAATTCAATGCTTTTTTCACATAAGCTTGCGCAACAATGTCTGGATCACCATATCGATCTTTGAATTCATCCATCGCTGCCTTGTATCCTCCTTCAGCATTTAAGTGTGAATATCCAGTCACTATTCTGTTAGCCTCACCACTGGTAAATTGCAGAAGAAAGTTCAAACGTTCTTCATATGAGCTGGTATTAGCACACACCCTTGTATTAAACTGTCTAATGAATCTCTGGTAGTCCATTGGATTCCCTTCAAATTTCTGTATTTCTGATTTAGGCTTATTTAGTTCTTGTGCCACAATAAGTAGGCCTTCATGTTCACGATTATGACTGTGTGGATGTCCTGAATTGTACAAGTCACCGAAGGTTGGTAACGCAGGTACATAAGGCGTACTATGTTGGGTCGACATAGGAATGTAAGGAATACTATGTGGCGTACATGTAGTCACACTAACAGGCACATGTGATGAAGTACCTGGAGTCACAAATGGTGTATTCCAGTTCTGCTGACTAACAGTCCTTGACACAGATGTAAACAAAGGCGCATGTGGATTCAAGGTAGACTGTGTGGTAGACACAGGTATATGCAAATGCGGTAACTGCTGTGCAGTTGGTTTCGGTACAGGTGAAAACAAAGGTGCGCCATGGTGATGTAATTCTGCATGGATATCACTCAAAGCTTCGGTAAGCTGTTGGTCCCTCAATTCACTCCTTTCAAGTTCTTCAATAATTTTAGTTCGAGCGTCACTGATCTTTAGTGCTGTTTGTATGTGAAGTTCTTCTTCTTTCATTTTTAATTGTAGTTTGGCCTCCTCTATCTGTTTCTTTTCTTTAAGCGCAGCTGCTTTTGCCAATAGTTCTGCTTTATGTTGTTTTTCCTCAAGCTTGGCCACTGAATAGTTACTTGACTTCGAAACAATGGATCGTTTATCAGATGGAACACCTTTCGAATGTCTTGAAAACCATTTCTCGACTGATGATTTCACATCCGTTAGTTGTTTATTTCTTCCGGTGAATATTTCTTCATCTACCGTCTGCTCGCTCGGGGAGATGAATGCTTTAACTTCTTCCTGGAACTCTAGAAAGTCCTCGTAATTGTCTAACCATTTACTGTCAGCAGTTTTGATGGTGTCTTTATCATCTGATGACTCCAAAAGTCTTTGTAAATTATCACTAAGTGCTAACAGTGTCTTGTAACATTTCTCTCTGTTGTTGAGCTTAGTCTCAAAAGTAAATTCAGCACCTTTTTCAGTCATCTTTTTCTTCCTTTCACTCCTTCTGGGCTGACCCTCCTGTGACTCACCCTCCTCTCCTTCCTTCATCTCATCTTCTAATTGTAAATATTTTGTACTGACTCCGGACAGGAAATTAAGGAAACAACGTTGTAAATGCGTCCAATGATTTTATTTATGAGGATGATGAGATATGACGATGACAATGACATGGAAATATGACTTAGAGTTGAAGTTGACATGGAAATGACGTGAATGACGTTGACATAGAAGTAGACTTGGAAAATATGACGTGGAAATAACTTGGAAATGACGTGGAAAATATGACGACGATTTACTACAAAAAATACAAAGAAAAAATACTATAAATACAAGATATTTCAAGCAAGTTACACATAATAACACATCCTAGCAAATAATCATGATGTATTACATGTTCTAGAAAACACTTCCAATACACAAAAACTGTCGTCAAAATGTAAACAAAGAGGCATAACTCTTCTCGACACAAATCATGATAGAAAAACATGGCAATAAAAGATTTATCTCCCGTACGTAATAAATGTGCACATATCCAGCGAAATTACAATATGTATGTCAATATTGTACCTAATTTACTAATTGCATTATAATTATCACTCCAACATAGTGCACAAGTACTTTCAACAATAACTAGATAGCCAGGTTCATAAAAATGCTAACTTTACCGAGATGACAAATATACAGTGTATACAGCTAAATGATTTACATAGAAAAACTCACCAATTAGAAGTTTCCTCCGGTGAAATAAATATCAGTACAAAGACTGGAAAATATCATAGTAAACTAGCAAATGGCAAACTGGTAACAAATGCGGCACCAAGCCCTGCCGCGTTCTGCCATGATAACACGGGCTCTACACAAAAAATTACTGTGCCCCAAAAACGATGACGTCACATCACACTAATGACCCTAAAAAGTCTAGTAACCGAAATGGCCGTAACAGTCACCATATGCCAATAGCAGTTAAAATCAGAGAGTCAGTAATTATTCATCCAAAATATTAGTAAAAAGTACAAAAAATGACATTTCTCCGATAGTTTACAGTACGTCTATTTTTAAACACATGTTACTATAAATAGAAATGGAAACCTCTGCTTCTCATTCTGTATTTGATATAATGCCTTCTTTTACTTGTTGGTCACTATATGCCAATAGCAGTTAAATACATATAGTCAGCAATTATTAATCCAAAAATTTAGAAAAAAGTACAAAAAATGACATTTTTCCGATATTTTGCATTACGTCTATTTTTAAAACATATGTTACTATAAATAGAAATGGAAACCTCTGCTTCTCATTCTGTATTTCGTTTATGCTTTCTTTTACTTGTTGGTCACCATATGCCAATTAGCAGTTATAAAAACATATAATCTGCAATTGTTTATCCAAAATGTGAGAAAAAAGTACAAAAAACTACATTTTTCTGATATTTTGCAGTACGTCTGTTTTCAAACAGGTGTTACTATAAATAGAAATGGAAACCTCTGCTTCTCATTCTGTATTTGATATAAGGCTTTCTTTTACTTGTTGGTCACCATATGCCAATAGCAGTTAAAAACAGACAGTTAGCAATTATTCATCCAAAAATTTAGTAAAAAGTACAAAAAACGACATTTTCCCAATATTTTGCATTACGTCTATTTTTAAACACGTGTAACTATAAATAGAAATGGAAACCTCTGCTTATCATGCTGCATTCCATTGAATGTTCTTTTGTTCTTGTCAGTCACATAATATCAGTTACAGTTAGTGACTGTAAGTTGGTAAATTTCCAATCTCTAATTTGAGAATTAGTGGAAAATCAACATTAAACAGTTAATTTCATATGTGTCTATTTTTAGACATTTGTACTATTTATAGAGATGAGAGCCTGTCCCCAATAATTTGTGAGATATTACAATATTCCTTGTTCTTATTGATGAAATATTGGAGAGATCCATATACTTATTATTTATGATTTAGTGGAGCTTCAAAATGAGGAAAAATTGACATTTTTCATCATTTTATGAGACATGTCTATATTTAGGCATTTGAAGCTATAAATAGAAAACGGAAATCCCTGAAAATAATATGCATGGTAGTTATTGGTGACCAGTCTCTGACATTAGCACAATGACTTTTACAGTATATTTCATAATTACTTTGCAATGGCATCTAAAACTCTGCCCAAATTTCATTTTTTGGATTTTTCTGAAATATGTCTATTTTTAGATACATGTTACTAAAAATAGCCTTGAGATCCCACTCCAATTTTTTCATGAGGGGACACTACTAATTCCGAAGTTTGACGACACGCATATGATTTGAAAAATTTCCGTAGACAATTTTTTTTATTTAACCTTAAATTTCTCAAAAAATGGCAAATTTTCCATTTTTTACATTTTGAGAAACTGTGCTATTTCGCCGAACCGTTTTCTTAGAGTGGGGTCAATTCTGGAATAACTGGTTATATGCCCTGTATTCTTTAACAGTTGATGTTTTCTTATTATACAAAGATTTATATTTGAGTTCACTACATAAAGATAAAAATGCATTCATATTTCCTCAATTTTCATGCTTTTGTTTGGTCAAAAATGGCCGAAAATGGCCAAATTCAATGGATCCGTCTCCATGGCAACCGGGTGCACGTGGGAAACTTCTAACACCATATTTGCTGGTTTTGTACCAAGGTGCACCTGTGGTGCAAATTTCATCAAAATCGGAGACATGTCGTTTCCAAGATTTTTTGGTGCTTACAGAGAATGCATGTTAATATATGTTGATAACAACTTATAATATAGAATTTCAGCTTGTCTGTGCAAGTTTACTTTTTGCATATATTTATATATACATATATGTATTAAAAACAGATATACATATGAAGAGGCTGCAACAAGCTATGGGTAACAAACTGCAGGTTAAATAAATCCATAATTTACATATATAAAAATAGAAAACTAAATTGGAAGAATTGGTCAAAAAAAAAAAATTAATAGCTTTCATAAATTTTAGATAATGGGGTTATGTCAGCACAATCTCTTTTTCTTGAAGTGAGAATGAAAAGTATAGATTGCATGTTTTCTTCATTTGAATACATTAATTACATAATACATATAGTTATAACTTTAAATATTTATGATGAAGTGTTTACATATCTGTATAGGTTGAACAACTGGTAACTGTGAACAAGAACCAGCAAAATTTTGAATTCCTACTAATGCACCATTTCTTTATCCCTGAGTCATTCTCCAGGAGCCAGAAATGTATCTGAACACTTTGTTCTATAAAGACATTTACAAGTATTTATATCTAACTCTTCTGGATATACATTTATATATTTACAACTCTCATTCAAATCGTAAAACCACCATGTAAAAAAAAAAGTCATTACCTTCAAGATAACGAAAGTTAATATGAAAAAAAAATGAAATTTGAGGGGACTTCAATGGGTAAAATAGCACTTCAAATTTGGTACCTCTGAAATCTATAAAATTTGAAATATTAATTATCAGAACTGGTGATGTACTCCATTGTGTGTATTTAAGGGTGTGGCATCTAGAACTAAAGAAACGATTTTCAAGAAATGTGAGGACCTGAAAACAGGAAATATTGTGACCAAAATGCTAATGTACAAACTTTATTTTACAGTGTAGATAAATATTGGAAGCATTAACAAAAATTAATCTCAATATGATAAAATACAAAGAATGAAATATTGATAAACAGAAGAAAATCATATACAGTCAAGAGATTGTTTTGTTCAGTTTAAATATGAAGAATTTGTTCTGCAAGTTGATGTTTCTATCCCATGTGGCATCTGCGTACTAAAATCGGGGTTTGGATCTGTCGTTTGTCATAGTTCTCCTTAAACTAACATTGGCAAATTTAGGATTTCTTTGGAAACTGTCAAAAAGACAATAAAATAATGTTATCATATTACACATTTAGCATACAATTACAACACAATTTATAGCATATAACATCTTGTGTATCAATTCTATAAATTACATGTACATACTTGAAAACAAAACGTTTAATCTACTGTAAATCACTTTTTATTAGCGAGAACTTTATTTTCGCGTAATTACGCGAGACAGTGTGCTCGCGAAAATTTAATTCTCGCATATTTTAGTATTACTAATAAGATTATAGAGAGCAATAACCTCAATTAGTGAAAACTTTGTCTCACTTATCAAGTGTCAATGACTATCTCACGAAAATAAGGTGTCATGAAAATTAAGTGATCTACAGTATCTAAAGGTATATCAAATAAATACTAATAAAATCAAATACAAAGACTATAAACTGACATACAAATGCTTATATTTTCTATTTGATATATTGTATTTAGCAGCTACTCTCTATATTAAATTATTTTGATTTGGTATAATGTACGTGTTACTTTGTTTTTTGATATAATCTCATGTCTTCTGTAAATTGGATCAAAACACCTCATGCAATTAATATATAGGTATAATTTTATGTGATATTGACAATTAGTAGATGATTTTTTTTCGGGGAAATGATAATGATTCCAAAGCCTTGGACATTTTTTCAGTTAGTATCAACATGCAGTTTAGAAACAAAGTAAGTGTTTACATGTTATTTTAACATGCCATGCTCACCCAGAAATGAACTGAACAATGAATTTATATTTGTATTAATAAATTAAAGAACTCCTACACAGAATTAAAAATCTCTACAAGTCTCTTGGGTGGGAATTTTTTTAGACTGTTTTTCATTTTTTACATCTTCAACAGGGTTTGTATTATTACATGTATTGGGTTATGTTTGCACTTTCAGTGTTTTAATAAAAAGGTAATCTTGTTATAAAAATGCACGTACAGACATTTTTATTATGACACAATTGGTCAAGATTTCCGTGACTCTAAATGTAAATATGTGAATTACTCTGAGTCCTCTTCATCTGTCCCAGAATTCATTGCAGTTCTGCGTTGCTGTCCGCCAATGGGAGGGGGCCCAGGCGGGGCGGGAGGAGGGGGTGGGGGAATGCTGTGTTGCTGACGAGACATGTGACTATACCCTGGCATGCTTCCCTGGGTGTTCTGGTATAAATTGTGATACGTATCAGACTGTGCAGCTGAAGCAAGAGAGTTTGTGATTGGTGCAGAAGAGGAAGGAGGGAGTGGTGCTGGTGGAATGGTGTAAGATGATTGGTTGGTTTTCTGGTTTTGAGATGAAGGGTTTCTTCTGGCAGGAGATTCCGACATGTGGGATGAATTTAAACTTGGTGAGGCTGAGGAAAGGGAAGAGGAGGGGGTCCCATTGCCTGGGGAGGGGTGTTCAGAGGCAAGAGGGGGTGGGGGTGGGGGCAGAGGGGGAGATGGGGGATTATTGCCCCTGGCCTCTGGTCTAGAATAATTGATGCCCTGCTGATGAATGGTTGATGCTTTCTCTCCAGGTTGCTGTTCACAAAGAGGTAAAATTTAAAAGAAAATATATACACTGATATTAAAAATAAAATATCTTTCACCAATTATCTTTAAAGCTTTGATAAGATTATTTCCTGTTAATATTCACCAGGTTCTTTTAGTATTTAAAAGGTAGGAACTCTTATAATCAAACACTATTTAATAGAAGAACAACATTTAACAAAGAAAAGGGTTAACATTTTTTACTGGATTGAAAGTCTGTTAATGTCATGAATTATGTGCTATTACAACTCAGTGTTCATTTATTTACAGATCAAATCTGATAGAATTTGCTACAACTCCCTCAAAATACCGAAATATTCATAAATATAAATAGCAGAAGTTTATTCCCCCACTATTTTTAAGATCGTTTTTTTTTTTTGTTTATTGCCAGTAGAAGCCTCAAACAGAAGGCATGTGCATAGAACATTAGTTGTTTCATGTCAGTTTTAAACTTTATTAAAATGCCCGCATCTTTAAGTTCAGTATCAGTACATAAGGTACTTTGATTTTTTTTTGTACTTAGGGTTGCGAGATCTTGCATATTAGCAATATCTTATCCCAAAACAAATCCAGTTAGTAAAAAACATTTTTTACGGCATGCAAACCCTACAAACACACCAGTCAAACAATTGTTATAAGGTATAGGTCTATAACAACATTCCAGCAGGCAATATACCTGATGGTCTGAGGGCAAAAAGTGGTAAATGTGGTCCATATCAGAGCTCATATATGCCCCCTGCCCTGTGAATTGACGTGGTAAAGAATAAGAGCCCATAAGACCAGGATGTTGTCCTGTCCACCCGGGTTGGTGGATTTGTGACTGAAAAGTTATGGATTGGTGAATACATGTGGTAGTCTACATGTTAAATAAAAATATTGATCAAGCAGAAAGCAGTGCCTGATTTAACATGAATGAACTAAAGCTAGAGATTCTATGTGTACCAGGAAACTACACAAATGAAAATTATAAAGCACAGCAGCATATAAGTGTAATATTTATAGACAAATTTCATGCAGTAATATTTACACTTAAAATATTTCAATTAAATTTGCCATTTATCTTGTAAATGTAAAAATTGAAGTCTGAATTATTTGCTATTTGAACTTTGGCTAAGTTTTTGTTTTTAAAATCAGAACTTGTATATAAAGGGTAAAGTATCATTCACTTCGTTGTCTCCCTTACCCTCATGGGTAGAGGACTGTGACTTCCTGGTAATCTGGTTCCCGACCCTTCATACAGGGACTTGGGTCTCTGGGCACTTCCTGGCATGCTGTGCTCCATAAAATACCCATCAGCATCGCCAGCATCATCCAACAAATCTCCCATACTCTTCACTCTACCATTCATCCTGGAATCATTAGAGGAAGATATACTTTGTGAAATATTGATTTTTGATCCATAACTAAAAAAAAATTTCATGTCCTCAAACATTCATTTAATTTAAAGCATGATTTCCTCTGTTTGATTCTCATTCATTACAAGGTTGAAGATTTATCTCCCTTTATTCCTAAAAACTTTCTTTGAGGAGACCTGTACAGTGGGATCTTACATGGAATGTCCATTACGCATTGGGGGCATATGGAAAGGCTCTGTGAAGGACAGGGGGAACCAACCATATCTGAAATAGAATCATTTTTACTGAAAATCTTTGAAATTCTATAATATAATGTAAACTTAAACATGAGGCCCATGGGCCACATCGCTCACCTGAGCACTGTGGCTAGGAAAAAGCAGAATTGGTTTATACTTGAAAAGCTTAAATCCAAAAGTAGTCCAAAGACCAATCATGGCTTTGCTATTCATGAGAAGAAGATTTTTAAAGAATTTTCCTATATATTTCTATGTAAAACTTTGGTCGGCCATTTTGGCCCCACCCTACCCCCGGGGGTCATGATTTGAACAAACTTGAATCTACACTACCTGAGGATGCTTCCATATAAATATGATCAATTATGGCTTTGTCATTCTTGAGAAGAAGATTTCTAAAGAATTTTCCTATATATTTCTATGTAAAACTTTGGTCGGCCATTTTGGCCCCGCCCTACCCCTGGGGGTCATGATTTAAACAAACTTGAATCTACACTACCTGAGGATGCTTCCATATAAATATGATCAATTATGGCTATGCTATTCTTGAGAAGAAGATTTTTAAAGAATTTTCCTATACATTTCTAATTTTCTATGTAAAACTTTGGTCGGCCATTTTGGTCCTGCCCTACCCCTGGGGGTCATGATTTGAACAAACTTGATTCTACACTACCTGAGGATGCTTCCATATAAATATGATCAATTATGGCTATATCCCAAGTGAAAAAAATCCTCAAACAAATCACTTTAAGAAATCACTAATGAATCAGTGATTTGAAGATGATTTGTAAGTGATGCAAATTCCCATGCAAATGAGCTAACAAATCACTCCTAACAAATTGTAACCAAATCACTCTGAAATCACAATGAAATCACTTTAAATAAATTTTGTGTAGAAATCACTTCTGTTGAACAAATCGCAACCAAATCACTCCGAATAAATTGCAAACAAATCATTTCAAACAAATTGCAAACAAAATCACTTCAGTTTAACAAATCACTTTCAAATCACTCCAGGTGGATACACACGTGTGTGCATGATGCTCATGTAACCATCTCTCAAATATTTGAAACACATGCATATTTGTTGTATATTAACAAAAAACTTTTGGCAAGACTGTTTTAAAATATAAACTTTTACTTAAGGATGTGTCCTCATTAAGATGGCATCATGTAATTTAGATATACACACATGTACTTGACTCCAAATTCAGAATACGATATAGGCATTAATTGTTGACTTTTAGAAGTTGGTAAATGTTTTCTTATCTGAAATAAATATTTTTCTATAGCCACTTTGAAAAAGCCAGTGAGTTATAACTTTGCTGAAGCTAATGTAGCTTTACATAGATTTTGTTTTAAACATGAATTGTCACCGACTTTGTTGTTGGTAGAAGAACAATAAATTGCATGTAAACCATATGGGATATTAACTAAATCTAAAGAGGAAATGATAGCATAATACAGTTATACATACCTTAAAAATGTATTTTGCATAGTTATGGAAAAAACATCAGTTTCAACAAAAGAAGAGAGGTGTGAATCTAGAACAGCACAATCTAGCTCCTATCATTTCAATTCAAATCTGATGAATGAAAATTGGCGGTAGAGTTTCTAATACTGACCAATCAGCAAGCCAGGCGGAAGTTATGAAGTAAATCATTCTCAAATCACTCTGAAGAAGGACCATGAGTTCAACAAATCATTTACAAATCATCCAGAAGAAAGACTAAGTTAACAAATCATCTTCAAATCACTTCGAAGAAAGACTAAGTTTAAGAAATCATTTTCAAATCACCTTGAAGAACGGATAAGTTCAACAAATCATGAAGAAATCACTGTAGCAATTTCCTAAGTTTAACAAATCACTCTGAAATTGTCTGAAGTGGGAAAGAAATCACAAGCAAATCACCCTTTCATAACAAATTGTAAGCAAATCATAGTCATCATTTTGGTAGAAAATGATTTGTGCATGATTTGTTAAATGAATTGCTTACAAATCACTGAAACAAATCACTTTAAAGTGATTTTAGAGCAATTTGTTGGCAATTTGTAAGTGATTTGTTTGAAATTTTTTTCACTTGGGATATGCTATTCTTGAGAAGAAGATTTTTCTATGTAAAAATTTGGTCGGCCATTTTGGCCCCGCCCTACCCCTGGGGGTTATGATTTGAACAAACTTGAATCTACACTACCTGAGGATGCTTCGATATAAATATGATCAATTATGGCTTTGCTATTCTTGAGAAGAAGATTTCTAAAGAATTTTCCTATATATTTCTATGTAAAACTTTGGTCGGCCATTTTGGCCCCGCCCTACCCCCGGGGGTCATGATTTGAACAAACTTGAATCTACACTACCTGAGCATGCTCCCATATAAATATGATGAATTATGGCTTTGTAATTCTTTAGAAGAAGATTTTTAAAGAATTTTCCTATATATTTCTATGTAAAACTTTGGTCGGCCATTTTGGCCCGCCCTACCCCCGGGGGTCATGATTTGAACAAACTTGAATCTACACTACCTGAGGATGCTCCCATATAAATATGATGAATTATGGCTTTGTCATTCTTGAGAAGAAGATTTTTAAAGAATTTTCCTATATATTTCTATGTAAAACTTTGGTCGGCCATTTTGGCCCCGCCCTACCCCCGGGGGTCATGATTTGAACAAACTTGAATCTACACTACCTGAGCATGCTCCCATATAAATATGATGAATTACGGCTTTGTCATTCTTTAGAAGAAGATTTTTAAAGAATTTTCCTATATATTTCTATGTAAAACTTTGGTCGGCCATTTTGGCCCCGCCCTACCCCCGGGGGTCATGATTTGAACAAACTTGAATCTAGACTACCTGAGGATGTTTCCCCATAAGTTTCATCTTTCCTGGCACAGTGGTTCTTGAGAAGAAGATTTTTAAAATATGCCACCAAATTTTCATTTATTCCCAATTATCTCCCCTTGAATGAGGGCGTGGCCCTTCATTTGAACAAACTTGAATCCCCTTCACCCAAGAATACTTTGTAGCAAGTTTGGTTGAAATTGGCCCAGCGGTTCTTGAGAAGAAGTCGAAAATGTGAAAAGTTTACAGACAGACAGACAGACAGACGGACAGACAGACGGACAGACGGACGCCGGACAAAATGTGATCAGAAAAGCTCACTTGAGCCTTCGGCTCAGGTGAGCTAAAAAACAAGATTATAACATAAACATATGTCAACAATATATAATAAAATAAAACAACATCAATAGATGCATCAAATATACTGTTTTTCATCATTTCAACACTACTGCTATAATTCGTACTTTCCAGCATTTGTGTTGAGACCATACTGCCAGCCATCAGAGGACTTCTCCCCCAGTATGTTGATGATGTCCCCCTCCATGAAGGACATTTTAGTGTCCCCGTCCCCGTCATGTGAGTACACTGCCCTTACCTGGAGCCCAGAGATAGGGGGAGGTGGGGGAACCACCCGACCGTGGGGCAACGTCCTCGCTGTTGATGGAAAATGACAATTTTGAATTGATTTTATCTATGTGGTCATTGAATATTTTCCTTTAATTAAAACCACATCCCTCAATTTTTTTATTGGTTTATTTAAAACCTCTTGCCAGATGCTTTTACTCATGTTGACATTCTAGACAGTTATTAGTACTTGGCTACTTTTATAAGTGGATAACTTCTTCATAAATTAACACTGCAACTTTGTCAACAATATGACTTTAGTACAAACTACAAAGGCATCTGGTAATTTCAAGTTGTAACACTGATACTATAAATAAACTAAGCCCAGTTTTCTCACTGTAAGTGTCTGAGGCTGTATCTGTCTGTACAGGAATCGGGCGTCTGTAGACATCATGAACACTCTGTGACCGTTTGTAGGGACTGCCCAATGATCTTGTCTCAATGTCATTTCTGTACACCCCTCCATTCATTTCACTCATGTGGTCATGATCCTGAAACACGTTTACCATAAATAATCTTCCATATTTATCATTGCAAACACTTTTTCCATGCTATTATTAAAATCCATCTTTCATGCAGAATTGTATTGTGTTTGGTAGAAAAATCCATGCCCTCAGATCCTGCTATACATATTATGCCTTATGAAAAGCACAATGATTGAAAGAGCATCATAGATTCAAAACTGAAATGCCTCATGTCATAATTTTAAGTCAAAGCCTATAAGTATTTTTTTTTTCTTTTCAGAAGACAATTGCTTTAGCAATTCATTTGACTTTTGTCAATCTGCTCTTATTCTTCTTTTGAGTGTTTTCTTTTTTTTTTTAATTTTCATGTTGTGTATGTTGATTTTCAGGATTCATTTCAAATATTTCAAAGAATGTTTAGTAAAATTCTGAACCTGAACAAAAAATATATTTCAAATCAAGATAAATATTACCCGGTATCATGCAATTGTTCAGTCACGGGCCTGACTTATTACAACACAAATATGCCATCTACCTAAAACTAGTTTGTCATAAACAGAGATCAGATTATCTGGATGACACTGGATCAGATGACAATAATTTTTACTGGTTACAGCGTAATATTGATATTCTTACTGGCATCATCAACAGTCGGTTCGCTTCCTGTGGCAGAATGTGGGGTTTGACGGAGAGCTGCTTCCATTTGATGAGGCCTCTCATATACGACTCTGCAGACTGGAATTAAGACAGTAATGAGGATTTATTGTTAGGCTATATAGATGCAATTTGATAAAAGAATGGTAGTTCATGTGTATATTTTCCAAAAAAAAGTTTTAAGGGGGATAACTCTTCTCTTATAATCTGTATTTGATTTGAATATATGCTTCTTGAAGGAGATTCTTCAAAACCCTATAATTTATACATTAATCCTTAATCATTTTTTTTTTGTTGTTTATATATGTAATTTCTAAAAATAATAATAATAATACACCTGCAATATATAACACATATTAGCATAACCATATAAAGTAACCTTGAAAACAAAAGCCGCTCATTGAACAAGTTCTAAAACAACACAGATTATTAGTGGTAGAGAGTGACCATCTTTATGAGCTCTATTTATGCAGTCTTTCATCAGAAATTGACGACAGGTAAACAGAAGAATCCAATAACTCACCTGTTTGTGGTGATTGGCGTACAGTGTTGCCATGGTATTCAGTCGATCCAATAAAAAACAATGACATTTTCTCTCTTCAAGTAGAGCCTACAAAGTATTACCCGGTAATGCAGATTTTTTTTAAAACAACTCAAAATGATACTGATAACAAGGTTTTCAAAGTTTTTCCATATGATCACTATTAAATTTACTTTGAATAGCTACCCAAACCTATATTAATTTTTCTAATTTCTCGGGGTTTTTAAGGGATAGAATTTTATTCAATAGAGGACAGACTCTTTTATTTTTTACATTTCTATCACTGAATATCTGTATTTTATAAGTTGACAAGTAGCAAAAATTGAGTTCACAGAAAGGGAAATTGTCAAATCTTTGACAATTGGAAAATAAAAGAAACCAAAAAAAATTGAACACCTCAATATCTAAGAAAGATTTTCAGATCTCATTATCAAAAGTAGGGTCCTTCATAAAATGTACAAAGCCTCTGAGGTCTGACTTGAGGAATTTATAGACTTCCAAACAAATAAACTTCTACTTGATCATGTCCAGAACTGTCACCCATCTTACCAGTTTAAGTCCACTCAGTCTAAATTCATCTAACTTCTCTTGACATCTCTCTAACGTTTTAATGTGCTGAAAAGATTTACAAATTCAATTGTCAGTGTTGAAAAGGTATTTTTGAGGAGAATATATTGTAAGCATGGACACTGTCAGATTTAATTAAAAAGTATATCTTAAACTACAAGAATGAATTTTCTTTTACATAATTAAGATACAATATAACATTAAACACCATTATATTCAAGAAATGAAAATTTGCAAATTTATCAATTTTGTTGTTCAAGTTGATTTGGCTATGATAAAGTTAGAGGATATTTAGATTTCAGTACATTTATTCTGGAAAATTTCTGTGCACAAATTATTTCAAAATTCAACAATCTCAGAAATGTGGAGTTGCAAATAAAATGATGTATGTATATTTTTGTTCCTCATAATAATAAATCAAATAACGTTTTAATTAATTGATAAATTATCATGTTGTCTTCTACCTGTGCTTCTTTTTGCTCCTCAAACATTGGTTTATTTCGACTCTTTTTGCGGAACTTTTTGAGTGATTCCGTCGCCTTGCTGTACGGAGCAAACACAACCTTGTGACCCGTGGCATATTTTTTGTACTGTGACTGAAAAAGATGTATATTACTGTTTTAAACAGGACTTGATTGATCTTTCACATTGTAGATATCACACAAAAACTGGCTTCGCTTTTATTTATTATGGATATGTTATGTTATAAATGTCTGTAATGCTTCTATGGCAAAGTAATGTATCGACTTCATTAATAAACCAGGTCATTTTCATTATTTCATAGGCTGTAATGACTTTTTTTTTTTTGGAAAAAATGCTATAAATCAATTATATCTCAAAATAATTTATCTGCATAATCTAATTTAAAGGCAATGTCCAAAATAACCCTTTAGGTCCAAGCAACACTTGTAAAATCAGAAAGACCATTTGTGAGAATTGTTTCTTTAGCTGGTTTGTTCAGAAAACCTAATCTTTACCAGTACATCATTTTACATTGTTCCTGTTCTTTCATGCTGCAGCAATTCTAGTAAAACAAGGTGTCAGATAAATGTAAGCTAATAAATTTTATATTTTTAAGAAATCATAACTTGAAAAAAAAAAAGCGTTTTGCTGACCACCAAGTAAAACTTGACAATATCGATGCTAAAATTGTTTGCACATTTGCAGTATGTGAAAGTAAAAGGTGTTTAATGTTGTATTTCATTGACTTCAAGATGAGTGAAAGGCGATCAAATTTTCAGACAAGTATAATTTAACACTTGTATTCATGAATTGAGAGAGTCAAGAGGTGCTTTGCATTGTTTGTATAGGGATAAACCTGATTTGGTACAAATGTAAGACCCAAAGAGTAAATATTCCCGACTCCCACCCAACTGAACTATTCCTAAATGTTCACCCTCTACCCCCTACACATATCCCAGTGATTCATTACCCTGCAATCAATAGGGTACTTTATCTACGGTTGTATATTTTGACTGTGTTTAGTAACAACCAAATATTTTGCTAGACAAGCCCATCCGATGTGTGTAATTATCCTCTAGTTTGCGATTTGCTACCTATATGGTTTATTCGTCATCAGGTTATTACATAATTGGGGAACTCTAAATCAAATGTATGCAGCGCTAGGTGTAACTATATTGTATCCATTGGAAATTGATGAAATATTTACCGATGATCTTTTGAATTCATTTTCCAGTTTCTGTTCTAATGGCAAGATGAGTTCTGTGAACAAGGCTTTGGACTGCAAAAGAAAATAATAAATAAAGGTGTGCAGTATATCATTTTACATTCAATGGCATACATATAATGCCCTTTATTTCTTTCAATTTAAATCTGGTATGACGCCAGTGGGTATGTAACCTTTTCAACTTTGATTGAAATCAAAAGTGCAGAAGACTAAATCTATACTTTATTCAAAATCTCCCAAAATATTATACAGTGAAACCTTTTTATCTTCGACTTGATAGGACTGGTAAAAAGCTTTGAGATATCCAATATTAGAGATATATTCAATGCTGAAATGTTTTTTCTAAGAACAAGTGATTGAGACTTCCATATCATTTTGATATCCATGGTACTGAAGATCACAATGTTTGACAAACAGAACTTCAACTGAACCTTGATTTTGTTATGTAGACTATATGATAAAACCTTTTTCTTGGTCATATACTACATATAATAATTTATTCCAAGAGAGAAAAACCTCTGAATTTTAATTGTCAGCAATGAATTAACTACTTTTAGGGTCATGCACATAAAAAGAAATCTGAAATCATGCTCCCTCTGGGTTACAGTACATGTATATAGGTACATAAGCTTAGTTTACAGTAGGTTTGACTTTATACCTGGTCAATGAACTTACATTTTCTTCAATCCTGGCTTGTACTTCCTTTTGAACCTCTGCTATTTCATATATTGCTTCTCCTGCAACAAAAAACAGACTTTGTATACAAGTACAGTAAAACACACTTATAGTGAACATGCATATAATGAATAAACACTTACAGCGAAATGATTTTCATGAAATATATTGTAAACTTAACAGATTATCTGTAACAAATTACACTAACAATGGAGCACTATCGTCCATCCCTGGCACTTTGTTTATAAATAAGTTTGCTTTATTTTACTTTGAAAAATCTAACTAGAAGGTTTTATTGCAAAAAGCTGCTTTCAGAAGGCTGGTAAAGTAACATATCTAATCAACTTCTCTAAAAAAAATAATTTCCTGATATTTTCACAATTGAAATGCTAAAATCTTAGGAAATCATGTTAATACCGGTAGTTGGTGAAGAGGTCTTTTAGATGTATCCACCTTAAATATCGTATTGATTCTAGATTTCTTTAATACAGGAACACCCAAAAGAGGCTTAGTAATGTTTGCATTGATCCACTCAGTATATAGTTTATTCATTACTACATGACAAGCTGAAGAACATGCAATACATATCATGATTTTTTTTCAATGGAAATCAAAGAAGGCACAATCAATAAATAATCACTTGGTGGGTTAATCTTCCCTTCTCTCATTTTTTTATTTGATGTGTATACACATAGTACCAGGCTCTGTATATAGCAAGAAATAAAAAAGATTTACACCTTTAAATCCGCCCCCTGGGCCCCCATCTTTGCCCTAGTTTATGGATGTCTTTTAAAATAACTTAGTGCATTATATTAGTATAATAAGGGCATTGCAAAGTGGAGCTTCCCCTTTAAGAGAGCCATATCTATAAATCAAGGCAGCATTCAACATGATTCCAATGCAAATTATGTCATTTCGCACATTGAAGGACAAATACCCCCCCCTACACACACACAAGTGTGTTACTCATACCCCCCCCCCCCTCCCCCCAAGCTCTGTTGCAAAGTGATAAAAATTCATTTATCTACTTCACTTCTCTGCTTTATGTTAATATTTTTTCACCTTTTTTACAATATTTTAGAGAAAGTTGACATATGTTCCGGTCCCTGTTAATCTAGAAAATGCCTCTGACTAGCTTTCGACCAGTAAAAAACACTTTAGGTACCGGTAATTAAATTTTGTTAAAAACATTTAATTGGCCAAATATTCAGATATTACCTAGCTGAAATGAAATAAAGCTATCAGGTATTGTCACTTGTAATCACTTTCTAACAGTTTAATTATCTTTTGTTTACCATCTGTCTCCTAACAATGGAGCCCAAATGAGAATCTTATCAGAAAGCAAACAGAAGTAACCTGAACTGTTTTGTAGCCCGGTTCACCTGACATTTTTTATCTCTTTCATTTTTAAGCGGCTATGATCATATCAACTCTGGAACTTTTTTGTTTTGTTTTTAAATTTTAAGTGCTTGAGGGCTGTCATTTTTAACAAATTTTCAGAATTCTCAATGGTAACAGTAGATAATTTATGGGAAGAGAGTTACTTCCCTTATTCAAACTACTATAGGGCAGCAAAGCCTAGGGGACAAAATACATATATTAACCTTTTCTAATCACCCAATGCAAACATTAATATGCATTGTCAACTGATATATTATGCAATATATGCAATACGGGAACAAAGTCAATCAAATCAACAGCTGAACTGAACAAGTACATCATCCCTCTAACCAACTTCAGTTTTCCCTTGCTGCAAGCTCTCAAATATTTTTCCTGATCCAAGTTTTACTTATGAAGATATACAACAAAAATTATGCTTTGAATGTCATTTAGAAAAAAAAAAACCTCCTTCCCTTTTTTTACATAAGATAGAAGAATTACACGCTTAGTTTGGACTTTCAGTAAGGCGTGGCATTCTCGACGTTACCTAATTAGCTTTGAACTGAAATTTACACAGCTTCCCTTCACTGTTGAAATATACATATGATAGAAATGTGGCCGAATGTCAACTGCTGTAGTAAATAGCCAATTAAAAGTACTCTCACGGCACAGAGGTGGGGCATAAGTCGTCTGATCGTTGTCAACAACAATTTTAAGTTCCTATGTTATTAATTTTGTAAGCAATGAGAATCTACTAGTATTCTCCATTACGTAGCACCGAGAAAGTCCAAAGATAGGGTAAAATACTCCTAAGAGGACAATTCCTCTTCTTTTTTCCTTGTTGCTTTTTCTGTCCATTCTTACATCCATCGGTAAAATGATTTTTATCTAGTTTATTCCTTGTTTCATATTTCTGTTTATCAACTTTTTAAGACAATAATCTACATTCACAAAGTGCTTTTATCAGATTTACACACAAAAAAGCAAGACATTGCCAAATGGCCTTCAAAGGGATATTTCACTACACTACAGTAAAACTCCTTTTATACGAACATGGATATATTACAAATTCTCAGATAAAGCGAAGTTATCTTAGATCCCCAGCTAGATGAATTTAATGAATACCTTATATGGATATAACAAATTACGGATAAAGCAAACTCATTTCACAGGTCCCTGTGACTTTGTTATAACCGAGTTTTACTGTATTTCAATAAGCTTTTTAAATTGAATACATATAAGGAATATCCAGCTGTGTAAATGATTTATCAATCATATGAAAATCAAAATTGGATGAATATGACAGTTACCCTATCCCAGGGGTTCATGATTTTAATAATTTAGAGTCCATGCTACCCTAGGATAACCACATAAGTTTCAACTTTTCTGGCACAGAGGTTCTTGAGATTTTTTTAATGACCACACCCTATTTTGTCTTTTCTTGATTATTTCCCCTAGGAAGGAGGCTTGGCCCTTCATTTTTATAATTCAAACTCTGCTGCATTGAAGTATGCTTTGTACCAATTTTGGTTAAAATTGGCAAAGTAATTCTTGAGAAGTTGAAAATGTGAAAAGTTAACGTCGCAGCTGCATCAATGGAAGATCGGACAGACAACAGACAGCAGGCTATTCCATTGATCAAAGAAGCTCACTAATAAGCTTTCAGCTTAGCTGAACTAACAAAAAACACTGGGAGTCAATACATTAATTAATCTCCTACTAGATATAAATATATATGAATGTGATTTGTATAGGGTGTTTATTTTTATCCGTATGTGGCCGTGCCCTAGCTACTATTCTGATGAACAGTTAGAAATAAAAATGTCACACAGAGTTATTGGGTGTGATATAAACATGTTATATGATCATAGTATTAATACTAAATCTTACTGGATAGTGTCAATAAACTCTGGTGACTGACATCAATTCATAATGAACTGATTGCTACATTGTCAGTCACGATTCCAGCAAATTGGTTTCTTTCAAAATTCACCATCAATACTATATTTGATTCTTCTAAATCACTAGTATGGGAGAATTGCAGTTGACCGATTCCATTTCTGGACGATTACATTTTAATTTTTCAGATTTATGATTTTGATTGTAATTTTATCATTGTTCAGAACTGGGGGGGGGGGGGCATATTGCTTTGCTGCTGTCTGTTGGTCAGTTGGTCTGTCAGTGTCATTTCCGTTCATTTTCTTCACAGCGGTTGCACAAACTGGAATGAAATTTAGTATGCAGATTTATCATAAGAATATCTATATCAACATTTGTTTTGGGTATGATTGAGCCATTTTTGACAGAGTTATGCCCCTTGGGCTTAAAAAAATTCCAATTATTTGGGGGAGGAGGGGCATAAGTGTTTTACAAACATTTCTTGTTTTTGTAATTTTCATATAACTTAGTATTTTCAATGTAAAAAAGTTAAACAGAGATAGGTAATTTGAAGTTCACCAGTATTTCTGCAATGTTTAATTAGAGTTTGATGATGGTTGACTTAGAACAATGATGTCATCCATTTAGCCCCATCACTAGATTCCCATGTCCCCATGTGTCACTGTCTAAAGATAAATAAATGTGTTACCTCGTACCAGACCGACTATTTGTTTTTTACTGACTGCCATACCTACAGCAACCAGTAAATGCTGTTTTACTACCCTACACCTACAGGCATTGTGCAGTTTCTAAGTGTATGAATTATTTCTGACTTGATATTTACTCGATACTGTACTTTAACAACCCAGAAGATTTTTCGAGTTCTTTATGCTGCTATAATCTGAAGATAAACCCTATTTGAGCATTTCTTTTCTAGCCTGATTGTGAAGAGTTTTAAAAGAAGATTTGTGACAGGGAATGGAAAAAAACTTTTTATATTATCGTGTCCCATTGATAAAATGAGATGCATCCTCTTTAAACATTTGAAACTCAATGTTAGGGTCAAGGTGGTGTCTGGATGTCTTGAAAACAGAAGAATTTTTATATCAATTATTTATTGTTGAAGTGAAGATCTCAGCCTGCATAATTATAACAAAATTCAATTGCTCCATAGACAGAATAACTTTGATAAACACTAAAATTAATGAACTTTCAAGTACAGTCAAACCCCATTCCCATACATTTTAACCCACTGTGATGAAAACGAGGGAAAGTGGAAGCACTTTACTTTGCACAAGACTTCCATTTTGAAACATGTAAGTATGCTCTAATGAACACTGAAATATTTTTCATTAACAGCACCTCCAATGAAGTATACAAATTAACACAGCATTTACATGCAAAGAATTTTTTTTCATATGTGCTGGACATGGCGCTAAAAAGCAGAAAATTCCATGTAAAGCGGTACAGCTAGTCAACATGCATGTCATTCCTTACACTTAAGAAGAAAGAATTTAAGAAAGGTTGAAAAAACATAAGGTAAAGGTGCTTTGGAATTCCACCTCACTTCAATATATCCACAGTATTTGAGAATCAAATTTTGAAAAATCAAAGTTTGACTGTAATTCAAAGAGAACTAGGCAAGCTTTGGTGAAACAAACATTTTTCATTTTTTACATGATTTTTTTATCATATATCCTGGAGATATTTGTCCAGAAATACATTTTATAAAAATTTGAAAGTCCGACTGCCTGACCAACATCAATTAACGTCAATATGAATCAGATAGTCCATGCATAATGTCACCTAACTTCACCCCTGGTAATACATGTAAGAAAGGTGACTTAAGGCCGGTATACACGATGAGATTTGTAGTATAATACAAGTATTATAATACTTTTGTATTATAATACTATCTTGTACACACGCTAATACATATCTTATAAGATTGTAAATAAACTATTATTCCCACGTGTTTTCTCTTGCCATATTTTTCTCTCTCTGTCAAAATAATAAAAATGATAATAATAAGCTCAGCTTCTAACATCTTTTTTGTGGTAGCTACAGCTTGATATATTCCACAAGTCCTCTTCCCCTTCCCATAAAACCACGAGTTTTTCGATATCTTTACTCGAAAAGTCGGACTGATGATTATTTACCATGTGTTTTATTTAGAAATCATATAAATAGGATGACCCCCAATGTGAGTACATTTGATTGGTTGAAAGTGAAAGGTGAGTTAAGACTTGTATTAGGAAATAGAGCATTGCTCTATTCTTAATACAGTTTTATAAGATTCGAAAAATCTTATGATACACTGTATTAAGAGTGTATACACAGTAAGATTTTGTATTATAATACAAATCTTATACTACAAATCTTACTGTGTATACCGGCCTTTAATTACCTGGTTTTTGCTTATTTGACACAGTCCAAATCATCTTACGTAGGCACTGCCCCGTCTGACAAACTGACAACTTCATTAGCATACAACACCTATCTGACACACAGGTCTAGACCCTAAATTACAGTCCTGGTCTGGGCTGTACTGACTCAACATTCATACTTATTCCCATAAATGATTTTGATTCACATTCTCTAATGCTTACAGAATTCATGTACCAAACACTGTAGTGAACCTTCTACCTATCTTGCTGATTTACCTCCCTTAGAAATGTGTTGATTTTATGAACCAATATTTATATATTTGTATAGCACCTACACTATTTTACCATCTTAGGGATCTTTGTATTGACTTTAAGCTTAGTTCCTAATTCTTTATTCAATCTAGGAAATGAAACCTCCCTTCCCTTCTCTTACCCCCCTCTCTCTATCTCTTTCCTCCCTCTCTCTATCTCTTTCTCTTCCCCCTCTCTCTTTCCCCTTCCTCTCTCTCTCTCCCTCTCTCTCTCTCCTCTCTCTCTTTCCTTTTTTTAATCTCCTCTCCCTCTCCTCTCTCTCCCTCTTCTCTCTCTCTCTCCCTCTTCTCTCCTCTCCCTCTTCTTTTTCTCTCTCTCTCCCAACATCTTCTCTCTCTCCTCTCCCTCTTCTTTTTCTCTCTCTCTCCCTCTTCTCTCTCTCTCTCCTCTCCCTATTCTCTCTCTCTCCTTTCCCTCTCCTCTCCCTTGCAGAGGATGGACTAGGGACTGAATGAATCACTGATTTAAATTTCCTTTTCATCTGAATATTAATATAATATATTCTTCCTTGTTTATTTCATGTGTTTCTTTTTTCAATGACTAATTTCTGTATGATATTAAAAATCAAAGATCAAATTACATAAGTTCCTCATTTAAAATTTTTTTGGTTACATATCCACAAGTCATTTTGGTTATCTTGCATAAATACAGCTGATAAAACACTTGAGATCAATCAGAAATATTTACTGTATAATCCTGGTATCAATTTCATCAATACCTCCTGTCACCTGGTGCATGTATTTATTGATAAACATCAAACACCAGGTGGATACAGCCACAATCCGGATGTAGATATTTCTCAAGGGGTGAAGGATGCAATAAATTTCATTCTGGTTTGTAAATTTCTGACCCATGTGATGTCCATTTTTGGGCAAAATCTTTTTATAACATGATTTTGGCCAACATCCTTTATCTCCAAGGCCATCGAAAAGGGGGGTGGGGGTGGTGATTGCACATAGAGACACTCAAAATTATCCCTTTGAAACAATATGAAATTTCATTATATACATGTGTAAAGCAATGTTGCTAGATTCTGATTACATGTATTTATATGCAGGGGTGCCAAGTTCAAATCCGAGATCAGCCATCCTTTGGTGACATAATGACCACCCCTGGACTTGTGGGTGAAAGTTCTGTCTGGGGCAAATAATAACTTGAATTGTGTATAAATAAAGGTTGGAGACAACTTATCAAAGAGGGATGAATGTAATGGTTTGGACCATTTGTGCCTGTGCAGCTCCATTAGTAGAGAACCTGACTAGTGATGCAGGGGGTCCAGGGTTCAATTCCTGGTCCAGCGATACATTTTCTCCCTTCATGTTTATTTATAACAGGCCTGGTGCGGTTTTGAAATTTATAAATGTTGTCTGTTTGAAGTTAAACTATTCTGTCTTCAGACACACTAAGTCAAATGTGCCATTTTTATCCCCTGGCAACGGAGTTGGAGGGGATATAGTAGCAAAATCATGTGTGTGTGTTTGTGTGTTATATCCTGTGTGAAACAGAAGTAACATAATTTGCACTGGGATTGATGTTGGATGGAGCCTTGATTTATAGATATGCTCTTTGTGATGGGATGCTCCTCTTTGTGGTTCCCTTGTTTAACATTTCACTTGGAAATGTACAGTTAACTTATCATTCAGCTTTTGACTAAAATAGGTCACATTCATCTTTATTTTTAAAAATCTGTAATTGTAGGTATAAAATTAGGCATTTTTTTTTTCAATCAAACAGTCTGCCAGAGTCTTATATATGATATACAATCCATTCAATTTTTGATAGTGCATTGTAAACATATTATTTTAACTCAACCATAAAAAAATAAAGAAATAAACCCTGCTAAAACCCTTCATGTATCAATCTGTTACTGACTTTCTGGTCCAACAGATCAGCCAGTGTACACCCTAACCCCATCAATTATAAAGATCAATGGCTAAAGCTTACAAGAGGACAAAGGGAGGAATCATTAAATGACAACTGTTCACAACAACAAAAGGGAGATGTCATTATCAATCATGTCCACCGAGGACACATATACATATACACCTATGTAATCCTCAGCTTTTCACATTTTTCATCTTTTTATCTTTTAAAGCATATCTTTTATTCTTTTGTTTGGGGTCAATAGATGCTTGAAGATGAACACTCAAACGTGATAAAATTTTACATTTTCCTTTTGACTATTTTCTACGAATACTTCATCTTTGTGCTTCAACGGAACACATTGATAACATTAATATTTAAAAAAATTCAATAAAATCCTTTTACACACATGGCAAACAATAGGGAAGTATGCATACAAAATGAATCATATGATCTTAAAAAAAAAAACAACCAAAAAACAAACAAACAACAACAACAACAAAATACTATATTCATGAAGTACGGTACATATGCTATGGTGTTATTAGCTTACAGGTTTGCATCAATTGTATGCATGAACATGAGGAAATTTAAAACTTTCCTGATATACTTCAAAACACAAGGTACAGGTTAAATGTAACAACTACAATGTAATACTTCATACAGTTTCCTTGTTCTTGTGATTTCATTCTTTTTTATAGTTTTTTGAGGGGGAAAATATATGAAAACAGTGAGTCAGAGTCAGCCCACGTACATCAATGTTTTAACCTAAAAGTAAAAGTCCATCATCAATAACATCAAACCTTTTATTCCCCTTACTTCCTCCCTTTTTCAAAATTTCCTCCAATTTCTATGATTATATATGCCCTCTTTACTGTTAAAATTTATAGATATCCCATTCTTTGAAATGCACTTTGTTCCACTATGTATAAATGCAATGTTGTAATTGCATCACAGAAAGTGTGAAATGAATACATGTGAAAGCTTACATTCTTTGAATGTACGAACTCTTGAGACTTTTTTCTTGGAATGAATTCAGCAGAAGCGACATCAATTTTAGTATTTAGTAAGCTGTGATACTTATTCTATTGAGGACATAATTAACTTTCTGTTATGTTACTGGCTACCATATTTGCATAAAATTACAATTTTTATGACTTCACATGTATAAATAATGTATAAATGTCATGAGTGTCCCTTAAGTTATAAAAAATAATGTTTATTTCTTTTGTGTTTCATACCTTAACAAAGAGGCCTTCTTAAAAAAATTAACTTTTTAAGATTAATCCTTGAATATACAACAAAATCCAAATTAGAATTCTTCAATAAATTTTGTTTGCAGTATTATCTTATGACTCGATCCCAAAGCATCTTTTAAGTTTTCCCTCCATAAATTAATCAGGGGGATGGGAAGGATCTTGTCTCCCTTTAAAAAAACAAAACATGGAAGAAAATTGTATAAATGCCACCTCCCTTTAAAAAACAGAGGGCAGGGAGGATCCTGTGAAAGTTGTCTCCCTTTAAAGAACAAAATGCGGGGAAGCTCTGCTATAGAAATGTTCCTCATCCGCAAAAACAAGTAAACACTTCTTAACAAAATCCAAAACAGTTGACAAATTTTCAAGACCACACAACCTAAATCTTCTGTATGTTTGAAAACATGGGGATTTTATGGCTTAAATTCATGATTAAAAAAACGATCCTCTCTGATTGTTTTTTTTAAATTTGTCATTCAGTTGTAAGACCTGGCTATTTTTCAGTCTTTAAAATCACAGGTGTATACAATCATATGATTAAGCCATTTACAACCGATTGTAAAGTTTGTTTGATGTATCACTAGACATTAAGTATCCTGAATTGTTGTAAGAGGCATCAGCTAACAGGGGGATTTATCACGAATCTACGTGCATCTAAACAGAGCCTGGGGGGATTTCCCATAGCCCCGACTGATTCATTGAAATTTGTCATGCATCAGGACGGAATTTGGAATAGCCATTCATAAAATGTCCTTTTTCCTTTTAACATTCAAAAAATCATTACTGATATATTTGAATAAATATGGCGTACCTATTTCTTCTGTGCCCCCTGAGCATGTCGTGCGGGCCGTTTGTCCTACCCTCAACAGTGCCTCTGTATAGGCCCGGGCCGCAACTGTCAGGCCTAGAAATGAACATGGACCATTCATATTATAGCATCATCTTATTGCAATATTTTTCTAAATAGCATTTATAGATTGATCCAAAGAACTAACAGTATTTTGTTTTAGCAACAGTATATAAAATATACAAAATAAATTATTTACAGATTGGTCAAGAGAAGTATATATTAGCAACATTTGACACATTTATCAAAACTAACAAGGTGATTCATTCTATGAAGTATACATATAAATATACCATGGTTTTATAGGGGGCATATCTTTATCTTAATCAAAGTCATTACTGTAGGAAATATTACCCCCTTGTCCTACGAGGTACCACAACCCCATCCATTACTGTGGTCATTCTCGGGCCCTAAATCATACAGTAACCACACCCAAAGTGACTGCACACAATACCTGTTTCATGTCTAAATGTTCCCCTAAGGTGACAAAAGTCTGGAATGTGTAATAATTTCTCTGACATAGTTTTGACATTGTGAGCCCCCTGTGAGAGAATTATTAACAGGCATGCATCACTTTGTAGTTAAATCTATTAATATATACTCCCTTTGAGAAAAAAAAAATCTAGCTGATGGAAAATTCATATTTTGTCTACATAGCTGTCCTGAGCGACGGATAAGTTAATGATAAGTTTTTGTTTCCCTATCTTTGTTTTGGGGACGGTGAAATTATTGTGTCAACATTTTATAAATGACACTCTTACCTTGCAAGGCCTTGTGGTACATTTTGCCGCATGCTACGATTTGTCGGACACCTGGGTTGAAATTCTCCGCAAGATTCTGCTCCAAATTCAACCAAAATATGTATTAAATCAATAGTAAAAATTTACTCTAGATTTTTGTATATTTCATACTTGCAACGTAAGAGAAAAATCAAGCTAATGCAGGTAGGGGGATAGAAATGTCTCAATATTTTATTGATCAAATGGACACGAGGATTGTTGGCTATTAAGCATGTTTAGCAAATGACCGGAAATTTATACCTGTCTTTGTACAAGTAAGGAAAATAATATTGATTTTCAGCATGCAGGTGTGGTTCAACGTTTTATAGTAATAAGATAAAATTTTACCTTGTAAACCGATTCTGTTATCTTATGATTTTCATCGGTGTTCTTCATATTTTCCAAATTAACTGATAATTCCAAAGCACTAATTTTTAAAAGTAAAACTTGCGAATTAAATCCCACATGCACACACACTCACGTTAAACCATCACTGCGATCTGTAGCGCTATCACAAACATTTGACAGCTGAAACCCAGGTGCGCAGTGTACCGTTATACACTGTACGTCAAAGGTCAAAGGTCACGTACATTCAACTTCGTATAAGGGATATTTTGTTGTCCTTCCTTGGCGAATAAGTAACAAAATTGATTTTCATTTTAAATTAATATATTATCTATGCAGACTCAGAATCATATGCTGACCAATAATTTGTCAGTTTTACTTTCTGATATACCCACCCCCTCCCCACCATTCAATTTAAAAAAAATCTTAGGATTATTCTCCGTCTAAGGCAGGGCTAACTGGTACCTGAGTAAAAATATATGTGGAAAAAAAATTACGCAGTCTAGATATCATTTTTTTTTTGTATGATCGATGTAAATCTTTTATCTCGAAATTAAGCCGCCCGGTCGGCATTTGTATAAATTATCAATTATTAATTATTAAATTATTAACACGATCTGTGAATGTTAGGGGTGTATGTGTGTGGGTGGGGGATTACTTTTTAATCCACAAACCTACTTTAGAAGAAATTATTCATTAATGTTTATTGCAGTAAGATTTTTTCCACAAAATATTGTAGGAAAGACAAAATGTAGCTTGCACGGATCATGATGGGGATGTCCTCCATTTTTAAATGTATATATATACTAAACTTTACAGATAAAGTGATCTTAAATGTTTCTCTTAAGTACCTGTCTTTTACACACCCAATGCTAGTGTTTTAAAACAATGTATTTTTTTTAAACTAAATTTTACGCAGGATTTCATGTGAAATTGGTTTTTATGTGCCAATTTATGTTCCAGGTGTCAATTTCCTTTAAAAGTCAACAATTCAAACACACACACACAATAATCAATTGAAAATGGAAAATGAGTTTACTTTTTTTTTGGTCAAGAAATTTCTGGATTGGCTTTTTTTTTGGAGTGCCCCCTCCCCCGGAAAAAATCCTGGATACCCGCCGGTGTACATGGTGTACGTAGTACATATAATAAATGTGTAATAATGTATGATCTCGTAAGTCTTCTTACATTTTCTTTTAAATATTTCAATTATACCGACATTCTTAAAATTGTATTATTCGGTATTTATTTATTCATTTGTTATTTTATTTTATTTTGTTTTGATTTATTTTATTTTATTTTATTTTATTTCATTTCATTTCATTTCTATAATACGTTGAAAAAGACATAATTGATTATAGCTGTTTCTACTTTCTTCCTTATGACATTAAGTTGTATGCGCCTAAGGGTCAAAATCAAAATAATCAAGATTGCGGGATGGGGGCTGTTCATCAAGTGCTCCAAGAGAGATAACTCTCAAGAAAATTGTGTTGTGCTATTCTATTGGTTAAAAAATATCCAATAAAAAAGAATATTACAAACCCAATTCGGGGAAGAAAGTTACTGCAAGGACTTCATCATCCGGCATATTTGTAAGTTTATGAGTCGCTCGAAAACACAAACACTTCATTTTGAATGAATGTAAAGTTGTTGAACGTATAATTATAAATTGTATTTCATTCTCTTTTTCAGCGATCTGCGGAGATTATCCCTCAAATAACCTGTGTTCACTTGTCGCATGACCTTGACAGTAACGTACACAACGTATACTTTAAAGTCTGGAAATTGAAACCTTTCACATTTGTCTGTTGGAAACAGTACAGTCACCACTGCCCCGGGGAGTGGTTTTTGATCAGCCACACTGCGCCTGTGGTGATTCGATTGAAAATCGCCACGCTGGCTCGTGAGCATATGTGCAGTTTTTGTCACACCAAAAGACACTTGCATTTCATAAAGACGTGAAAATGTATCGTGCAAAAACGTTTCTCTCGGGTCTTTCCAAGCCACAGACCCTTGGAATTTTACTTCAAAGGACTTGTGCCAGTACACATACCATCCCAGAAAGGACTCAAACGACACACTCGTTTCTAAATGGCAGCTCATCTGTGTACACCGAACACATGTATGAAGCATGGCTCCAAGATCCCTCAAGTGTACACAAGGTGAATGGGGGTTTTGTTGTGTTCTCTGGATTATTTAATTTCAGAAGTATATATTCTGTGAAAAATGTGATATCAATTTTTTAAAGTTCGATAGTTGTATGGAAAGAAATTGAAACCTGAAGGTCCATAATTCATACAGGTCATCAAGTGTTTAAATTGTTCTATATTTATCCTTCCGTTGACGGAGGGCTGTTGACTTGATGAATTTGTGAAACACACCTTTTCTGTTTAGTACACCAGTAATTTTTTTCTAAGTTGATATGAATATTGTCAGTGCAAACAATATTGAATTTGTATAGATTTTATCTCATAAGGCATGTGACATGTTAAAGAGTTGTCATGTTTAACATGCACTTGACAATATTACATTCACAATCTGTATTTAATTTGACATTTAGGATGTTTGAAATCTTAGAATTTTTATCAATCAAACAACAGATTAATTTTTTGTGGGTATGTCTTTTAACCACAATTATGGCACATTGGGTAACCCCAAGAGAGGTTATGAACCCCAATGAATTTTTTTTTACAAAAAAAATGAACCACAAGGACACCACAAGGAACCACAATGAACCTCTTACTTAATTGTAATGAATCTAAAAATGGTTTATATATGCATTTTTCAGATGTAATTCAGTCACACAGATGACCTATTTCTGATCTTTTAGTCCTTTGCAAGCTTTACATTAATTACTTATTTTTAGAAGCTTTTCAGCTTCTTTTCTTGAAAATCTTAACCAATTTCAACCAATTTTGGCACAAAGCATCTTTAGGTAAAGGGGAGCACAAGTTTTGGATTTCAAAATCTCTCACAGGGGATTAACAGCCAATTGTACTTAAGAATCTAGGTAACACCCCTTACTTATGCACAATACCACAAAGAAACACATCAACACCCATAAGGAACCAAGTCACACTCAAAGATACAGGGTCTACATGCACGCAACTTTTCAAAATTGAAGATAAATTTTAAAAATAAAAAACTCGAGAATCAATAAACAGTAAAAAAAACTTATTTCTGACTTTTTGAGAAAAAAAAGTATCTGCCATCAACAAAGAATCCTGATTTTGAACAGATCTGACTCTTATACATGTATAATAAGTCATCAAGTGTTATGTGTAGTACATGTGATAACAGACCAGAATTGATTAAATAAATATCTTTTTACTTTGCTTAATAAAATATTTTTTTTAGGAGGGCTTATTTTAATTAGACAGGAGGCAAATCCAAATTAAATACATGGCCCAGAGATGTAGTTTTTTAATTGAAGGTGAAATATCCCTCTACTCCAAATTTTTTTTTTGAATTCCAAACATTGATTTTCTTCAATAACAGTAGCATTAGATACAAATGGAAAATAGTTTGAAGTATGAAGGATTGCTTGCTTTTTCAGAAATTAATATTTTGTCTATATACATGATATAGTAAAGAAAATTTGATATGGTAATTCCATTTTAATTTTATTTCTTGTGATATATCTGTTAGAGAGTTAGTGGAGTTGATTTCTTGCTCATTCTTCCGGAATGTAAATTAGGCAGGTCAATAGTTCAGGAGCTACAGAAGGTCTAATATACATGTAAATCTTGTGCGTATCTGTCTCTTTGTCTGTCGCTAAGGAGTTTGTGTTTGGTGTCAGTGGGCAAGGACTTAAAATTGGCATGGGAGTCCTCGTGTTATTTAAATCTATGTCTGTAACATTTTTAAAATCTTTATCTACAATTTTATTTCACAATAAAATGGAAATATAAGCAACCACTGTCTGCTAAGTAAAGTATGCCATAGACATCAACGATAGTGGGAAACATTATGGGATAATTTAAATAGACAGTGATTCCTAAAATTAGAAATATCAATTATTTTTTTTATCCCACAATAAAATTTTAAGTGTGAGGTACATGTATATATGAAAGAAATGTTTCATGTCATACCTAAAAAATTCTGATTAGAAAACATAATGAAGCATTTCTTTGGCCCTTCATTTTAACAATTTAAATTCACCTTCACCCAAGGATGTCTTGTACCAAGTTTGGTGAGCTAAAAATGCTTTGTGCCAAAATTGGTTGAAATTAGTTAAGCTGTTAAAGAAAAGAAGCTCAATTTGTGATTTAAATGCAGCCTTTAGCAGTATGCATTCAAGACCTGCACTAATGATTTCTTTGAAATAGGTCACCTGTGTGACTCAAATGACTAAAAAATGCATATATAAACCATCTTTAGATTCATTAAAATTAAGTAAGAGGTTCATTGTGGTGTCCTTGTGGTTCATTGTGGTTTCCTTGTGGTTCATTGGGGTTCATTGTGGTTCATTGGGGTTCATTGTGGTTCATTGTGGTTAAAAGACATACCCATTTTTTGTTGTTGAAAATTTCACTTTTTAGATTATAGCCTTGGGTAATGCTAAGAGAGGTTATGAATGATGGGATTTTTTTTTATTATTTAAGAAAATGTTCTTTTTCATCTGTTCATCATGAAAGACAACATGATATAGTTTCCATCTTCCTATCTGCATCAGTTCAAATTCAAATTCCATTATACATGGTTCAGATGTAATTCAGTGCACCAAAGATAATATTTCATGATGAGATTTTATTCCTTAAAATGCAAGCTTTACATTAATTACTTATTTGGGAATTCATATCTTGATTCTAAAAGAATATACTTATAATTTTATGAGGTTTTAAAATATCAATTTATCATGGGAAAAGGTGTACAGTATGCTCCCTAAAATTTTAAGTTTCTGACAGCAAGGTTTGTGTTGGTAGGCTATTACTGACATAACTATAATTTATCTTGGATACAAGATTATGTAACAGTGGCATGAACACAATATTGCACTCCAGTACGTGTAAATCCATATTAAATATACAGTGGAGCCTCATTTGTCAGTGCTTTCCCAATATTTCAAACCAAAGGGTTAGAAATCATTTGTAACAGGCTAGGGGCTGAGGTTTATGAACAGAATCTCTGTGGACCTCACAAAATTTTTATTTCAAGTAGGCATTTTTGTCAAATGAAGCGGTCAATTTGGCCGGTAGCCGGTTCTTAAGGAAAACATTGTTTATCCGGACGCTTTTGTTGCTAGTCAATTTGTTCGGATATGTGAAGCCGCTGTAGCATCCGGATACATGAATTACCAGTTAAACAAGACAAAATAACGTTAAAGAATTCTGTTCCGATGAAAAATCGTCCGGATACTGAAGCGTCAGGATATCTGAGGGTCCACTGTATGTGTATCATTTCGAATCAGGGGTCTTATCATTTGTTTTATTGTATTATATTTTTGACCCATTTTATAGAAAATTGCAAGAAATTGAAGATAATAGGGCTGTCTAAATTAGGGCTTAATGTAAAAGTTCCAGATATGTTAGGATGTTGAACTTCAATGTTTTTTTTCTCTTCTTTCTTAGTCTTGGGATGCTTAATCATCGACATGGAGATTCATAAGATTTTTACAATTAAAACCACATGTTTTAACCTTCGACCTCTGTAGATACATACAAACAGAGCCAGGAGTACTACCATGTACAGAGTCTCATCAGATCATATCAGGTGGGGTTTATATCCTAATCTTAGTAACAGACCAGAATCATGGAAATATTGTCAACAAGCTAAACTAGTCTCAAAGAAGAACAATCTTACTCTAAGTACATTCTTTCGATAAAAAAAATGTCTGGTTTATAAATGTGAATTTTTATTGTTGTAGATATTCAATATATAATATGATCAGTGAGAGAAAAAAATTCTTTCCCTGTACTTTAAAGAAAAACAAATTCTTTGAAAGATATAAAATGCTTTTAATAATGTATCCTGTTTGTATATATGCCTTGGATTTTTCATATTTTACTTTTAATTTAGATTTCAGAACAGATTCATGCTCCATTGACTAGGAAAACATCAAATGACTATTTATAGAATTGTTTCATTGAAAGAAAATTCTTTTCTAGGAAGTGACTTGTCCATAACATCACCTTTATTAATACCTTTAGTCTCAACATGACTCAGAACTGTCATCACTTGTACACTTATTTCACATTTTTTTCTGTTATAGAAGATAGGTATACCAAATGGAATAATTTGCCATCAGTAATTGTCATCTCTTTACCATTATGTTTGCACAATTTGTGATTTAAATGCAGCCTTTAGCAGTGTGATTCCCAAGACCTGCACTAATGATTTTGTTGGTTTAGAGACCTATCTGGTGAACAGAAACATCAATGATCTGAACTTCTACATGAATATTTATGGCAAAGATTACTGTTATCTGAGTATTTTCTTGTTGGGGTTTGGAAGAAAGTAATTTCCATGACTAAATCTTTAATTTCATTCTAGAGTAAACTGTCACCATTTATCAGTATTATTTGATAAAATCAACAGAAAACATTGCACGATGTCTGAGAAAGTATTGATGTGCTCACTGCTCAGTCAGAGAGAGATCTTTCTCACTCTTAACATTAAACACCAAGCAGGGTGGCTTCTGTACTTTTAATACATAATGTCTAGTTGTGAACTAATTGTGGTTTCGTTTTCCTCTCATAATCCTGTCTCATGAGGGAAAATGTCAGGGAAATGAAACTAGGGCAAGGTCATGTGAGTTGTTTACTTCACTGCATTGCATCTCATTGTCATATGGCAATGTTAAGACAATGCTCTATTACATGTATTTCTATATAGATGAAATACATTAGTGAGCTCTATATTTATTAAGTACAGAAAAATCTAGTCTATGCAAAAGTTTTCTGGGTCACACGGGACATTTTGATTTGTCAACAAATTATGTCAGCTAGACCAAAAAACCTACATAAGAAAATGAAATGTGTAAATATGTGGCCTGTTGTAATAAAAAATTTATGCAGCTGAATCATTTAATTTGTGTATCTCGTTCAATTTTGCATAGACTGCTAATTGATATCTTATTTGTTTATACAGTGCATGTCAATATATGATCAATGTGGTTATGAAAAATTGTTCATTCATTCAGTTCATGTCAATATTGGAGAATGTTCTTGTAAATATCTTCCTATCCACTGGTTCATAAGGTAGAGATATTATTATTAATTTTCATATTACCGTAAATCTGGAAATTTTTGCTGTAGATAAATTTTTAGCAAATTTGCGAGTTCATTGCATTCACAAAAATATTTTTCTTAGAAATAGATTACTAATAAAAAAATGTAAAAAAAAGCAGTGGTCATTTGCAAAAGAACTCGGTTCATGTTATGCATAAAATGGCCCTGTAGATATACCAATTGGTTGATTAACACTTGATGTTCCAATTGAAGCAGTAAAATGAAATAGAGGCTTAGTGCTTTCATTTCCTATTAAAAATTTTCTCCTAAAGGTCCAGGTCTTGGAGATCTGGCTTTTCGAAATTGCAATGTTCTTGAATTTTAGGATAAATAGGTATATTTGAGTGCTTTCAATAAAGAAAAAAATATCAGCGCACTCTCTGATCTAAAAAATAAAACATGTCCTTTAATCCCCAGAAATAGTTCTATCATTTAGAAGTTGCACATTTTAGATCAGAGGTTGCGCTCTATATCAAATATCGAAAAATAGCTTTAAAAATTGGCCGTTTTTGTAGACTTTTTCAGAATATGAGGAAATTGACGCATTTCGTGACGTCATAATGCATTGACTAACCAGAAAATTACGTCATTTTATATAGACACGCAGTCATCAAAGATCTTAGTGATATTTCAATGCATTGTTAACTAACACTATGCAGTTTCAGTTTTACAGAAATTCACAGGGCCAAATAAGGCAAAAATGAACCTTGTTCTTTTGAAACGTAAAAATTAATCAACAGCATTTTGACCCGAATTCGCCAAATAAAATCGACGTAAAAATTTCCAGATTTATGGTATGGTCTTTGGAGACCTCCATTGTTTTTTTTATCACACATCATGCCATGTTTCAACCCACTAGGAACGAGGACATAAGATCGCTCACCTGGATCCCCTGGGGATAAATTCAGCTGACCTGGATTCAGAGTGTCCCAAAAGTCTTATGCTGAGCTCCCACAACTTTGGTGGGTATATATATGACACAGTGCAGATGTGGTATAGTACTTTTGAATAGCACCTGTACTTCTGTATTGGAATGTACCAATGCATATCTTAAGTCTCTGTATGGGTTCTTTAGATTTTTTTTTTCATAAATATTTGCATGTAGGTAAATATTGAAGCATGTGGTATATTTTTTTTTATTGATTTATTTGTAGATACAATGTATTAGAAATTTTTCTTTTTTCATTAGAATGATTGATTTATTTGGAGTTTTCATTTTAATTGTTGTTACTAAGTAGAGAACAGAAAGAAGTTACCAAATGAATCTGGAAGCATACAAGTGCTTAACATTAAACTTGAAATAGCCTATGCAACATGCAGCACTTTACAATAATGCAAATATTTATTGCCTGATTATGAATGACATCTAGATATACCCAAGGGACTGCTTTGATATCACAAAGTACAATGTTGACAGATTTTTCGTAGCTTTTCCAGCATACTCAAAAGTCATTTTTAGCAAAGCAAGCGGGATGCTTTTTTTCCACATAAGCACCACAACTGCAAACTGGAACCATGCATCTTTAATACCTGTAGCGTGGCTAAGAGTTTTTAATGACCAGGCTAAAAGGTTTATTGTTTGCCAGCTTCAGTTTTATGTTTAACGCTATGTCCCCTTTTTGTTTTCTTGCCTTTAGGAGCGTGGTCATCATTACGCAGATTTAGATCCACTGGGAATAAATAAACACACTTTTTCTAACATGGGAATCGAACTAGCTTATGATCATTTCCAGTTTGGTAAGAATTAAATACTCCAGTCCCCAAGGTGTGGTGGTAATTGTCTTTTGGTTGTGCCTTTTTACAGAAGCCTGTTATTTTTGGTTTTCTCTTTTATTATACATCTTCAAAATTTGATTCAGATGAATGAAATTAATTTTAACAAATTTATACACTTCTCTGTTAGCATGTTAACTAATATTTGTTTATAATAACTGTAATTCAGAATAAATGAACTTAATGTCTTGTTGTAAAGATTAAAATAAGACCATAAAAAAACAAAAACAAAATGTGTATAGAAAATTGAATTTGATCCAGCTAGCCTGCTTATAAAGCTTTTAATTATATACATATATTAATCGACTGCGTAGTATTTATGAATTTCACAGCTCTGTAGCTTTAGATGCAAAGGAAGATGTATTATCTATTTAAGAGTTGTGATTTTCAGCACTCTTCTCATAAGATGTAGTTTAAAGAAAATAGTTTTATAATAATCTTGGATAGAGGGAATCGGGGAAAGTTTTTATTATTTGCATGCACATAAGGTTTGCATGATATGATTTGGGAAGACATAATGATCCAAATTTGCAGCAATAGAGAATAATTAAGTGTGCCAGCAAGATGAATAGCATATTTACAATTTAGTCTTTTTTTTTATAAATTGAAAAGAAAAATGTGGTTTTGCTTGTCAAACATATAACCAAGAAAATTTGCATGATTTTCAAATGAATGGATCAGACACAGAAATTTGTACATGTATTTAATTTGCACTAGATGAAAACTTTTAATTTGAAAATGTAAGAAGTTCTTTTAGAAATTGGTCAGAGAGCTGTATTAAAGTTATTATTCATTATCTTCTCTTTTTTTTTAATTTAAATAAAAATTGTGGAATAAGGTATAACTAAGACATAGAATATTGATTAAGTGAATCTTGTTAGATGTATCACCAACATTACGTAATACTCAGAAATAGATGTACTTTGTTAATGACTTTAAAAATTGATTTTTTTCAACTTTTCATGTGTGCGTCCCTACATTTATTATTGAGTCTGTTGACAGAAATGATAACTTTTATTGCTGTGTTAAATTGGGAAAGGTGATCTGTGTTGGAAAAGTCTTTATCACAGGATTATCAAACTTTTTAAAATGAGCAATCAGCACTCACTTATTTACCAGTCTCAAGTATTTGGCAGGTTTCATTGTAATTATAAATGGGAGCCAGTGCAACTAAGAATGATGTTATACATTACAATTGTAATTTTCAGACATTTTAAGGGGAGATTATAAAAAAAAAATACTTCTTCAAACATCTTCAGTTATAAACTTCATTAATTGAAAAATTAATTTTCACAGGATTTAATGATTAAATGAATGTTTTGGTGTTACTTTCAGATTTACATGGTAAATATTTATCAAAAATGTATTTTAGCAAAAATTTCATTATTATACTCGAACCATTAAAATTCATAAACACATATTTAACAAATATCTATAAAATCAATACACATATTTTCATACTAGATATTACAAACATTACAAACAAACTTTAATAGATCTATGAATCAACCAGAAGACATAATGTCAATATATTGGATTATTTAGTATCAACAAAAGATATCAGTTTCTTAGCAATTTTGCATTCAAATTTCTTTCAAAATAGTTGCCTGTCCTTCTGTTCTCTAAGTTGTGTATTTTCATTACCTGACAAGTTCTGCGTTAAGAGTACTCGGTCTAGCAACATTCATAAATTTCTTTGAAATAATTCAGTGGTTTTGTACCTTAATTAAGGTAAAGAAGTAAATCCTCTCTTGGATTTGTATAAACTTAGGTAACTTGGTGGTAATACTTGAAATTGTTGCATCATTCTGAATAAAAGGAAAGCATAATACTTTCAGGAAATGTACTTAGGTGTAATTTTGGTTGTATTGTTGAAGACTTAAGATTTGTCCTTGCTTTGTATTTTAATTAAACATTGGACAAAAGAATTGGGCCTATTTCTGAGGTACAGGTTAAGGTTTTTGACATGAATTATGAAAATTTCTGACTACAAATATAAGAATTGGCCTCATAAGGCTATTGCAAAAAGATTGTCTTTAGAAATAGTTAATGAGATTTACTTAAAAAAAAAATAGCTTCATCTAAAGTATTATGAACTGTCAGAGAATATCCTAAAGCCTAAGCCAAATGATTTCTTTCTTGAAGAGGGAAAAAATTACTGGTAGCAGTACATACATGTATCTTTTATGTCTCAATTGTCTGCATTATAGACATTCCTGTTTTGACTCGTTCTTCATAACCATCGTTATTTTTTAACAAGATTCAGGATACTTCTTGCCAAATTCTTTCATCCAAGTTAATCAAGCATTTTATAACCTAAAAATTAAATGAAAAGGTGAAAAATTTCACACAAGGTTTGGTATGCAATTTAAGTAATTTTTTGATATTTACAAATTCATGAATTTTAAAAGGTGTTCCATTTTGTGTTAGGGTTTTCCTGAGGCCCATTCCCAAGTAAACATTGACTATATTGTCTAAATATTTGCTCACCCCACCCCCAATCAATTTAAGCAAGAAAAACAGATCCCAATCTGTGCATCAACATTCCTCATTTTATTTACACTGGGCCAGTTTTGAAAAAAAGAGGGAAAATCAGCATGTCTATTTAAAAAATATAACTTACATTCTGGACAAGATATTTTCAAACTATTTTTTTTTTCTATAGTTATCATTGGAACATCTTCAGATCAAATATATCCCATGTCCTACAGGAAAAGTCATGTTATTTGCAGAAAAAAAACAACCAATCAAAATTTCATAGCTCTTTGCAAATATCCTTTAAAAAAAAATAAATAATAAAGATACTGAATTTTCATTTTACAAGAATACTCAACGCTTGTCTGTCCCCCAAATTTGATATGTCATCTTGTACTTATTTATCATGTTTAGAAAAGTAACTTTTTATTTTCTTTTCTGGTTTATGCATGACAATGTACACTTGTATTACATATTTGTTTCCCAAAAGGAAATGAAACACACTGTTTCTAAAATTTATAACACATAGTATATAGTTATATTATATTCCAATAAGAGTTGATATGTTTAAGTATTTATTTTTTAGTTTGTAAATTTTTCAGTTGAGTTATTTAGATGGATAATTTGAAATGCACAAAATAATTTCATAAATGAATGACTAAATTCCTCTTCAATATATTGGTACTTCATACATTTGTGTGTACATTTATTGAAAGCTGCATCTTTATACATGTACCTATATAAAAAATGATACATTTATCCATGATAATTTGAGTATAGATGGTTTGGCAGCTTGTCTGTATGTCTTTCATGATCACTGACACAGTATATATCTTAAACAGTATGAGGTAAAAAATTTTGAAAAAATCAAGGTTGCATCTAATAAACTTAATAAAGTGAAATGAGATACAATTGAACACAAAATATGTCACAATGACATTTCATATTTATATTTGCTTTGATAAATATGTGTGTAAGTCAACCAGATAAAGCTTACAGCTGAAATGCTAGTACATGTACTTTTAGTATTTATCAAGCATACTATGCATCACTTAAATTATGTCTTCCTTATAGATACATAATAAATATATCACAAAAATGAAAATTGGTAATCTATAATACCTATTTCTAATTTCCTTATGACTGAGTGTATCATGTGTCGAAGCAGTTAATTTTATTTCTAAACAAAACACAGTTTGTACTTCTGACCCATTTCCTTATGACCTAGATAATGTTTTAGGTGAAACTGACCTGGATAGGAAGTTTTACTTACCTGATGACAGTGTGACCTACATAGGAGGGGAAGAGAAGTCCCTGTCCCTGGGGGAGATCATTAGGAGACTAGAGGTATGTATTACATAAGGGGAAAAATCCCTCGCACTAGGGGGAAATAATATGTAAACTACACGGGGGTAGGGGGGATCATTAGGAGACTAGAGGTATGTATTACATGGGGAAAAATCCCTCTCACTAGGGGGAAATAATATGTAAACTACACTGGGGGAAGTATTTAGGAGACTAGAGGTACGTATTACATTGGGGGTGAAAGGAACCTTTTTCAGGGGGAAATAATATGTAGACTAGAGGTGTGTAAAGCATGGGGGAAACCTTACTTGGGGAAATCATTCATAGAATAGAGGTTTGTATAACCTGGAGGGAAAGTAACCCTCTCATGGGAGAAATCATACATAGACTAGAGGTGTGTAGAACCTTGGGGGGGGGGGCACTGATAGGGGGAAAATCATGTGTAGACTAGCATTATGTATTACAAGGGAATAGATTTATCTGAAGCACATATTTTATGATGTAAATGTACTCATCTTAAAGTTCTGCAATTGACAAGACTTACAATGTATACAATTATACATCTTTTAAAAAAGTATTTTAGTTCAGGTCTTCACAACCATATGATTGTTTTAGGACAAGATTTTTCCATTTGTACAGAATCTCATGTCAATTTTATTTTCTTTCTCATTAGAACATCTACTGTAAGCACATTGGAATTGAGTATACTCACATCAATAATGAGGAACAGACTCGCTGGATCAGGGAAAAGTTTGAGACTCCCAGAATACGAGAATTCTCAGCGGAGGAGAAACATGTCACGCTCGCTCGTCTTGTTAGATCTCAAAGGTGATAGAAAAATTTTATAGTTACAAACTTGGAAAATGACACAAACTGTTTCTTTTCGAGAGAGAAAAAAGCTGTATGAAATATTTTATTATTATTTATATTAGTTTAAACATCATAATGCACTTTGATTTAGATTTGATTTATTTTATTAATATTATTAGTTTAAACATCAAAATACACTTTGATTTAGATTTGAGGAATTTCTGTCAACCAAGTGGACATCAGAGAAGCGTTTTGGTTTGGAGGGGTGTGAGGTGCTGATTCCAGGAATGAAGACCATCATTGATAAGTCTACAGAGTATGGAGCCGAGAGCTTTATTGTTGGAATGCCACACAGGTATAGAAATTAAACCTGTTTTCATTTGATAATATGTACAGGTCTCAGAGTGCTCAGGAATTTTGTCAATTCCACTCTCGAACATGAAAACAGTTATTAATTCTGTTTGTACGTAGTGGTACAATATGTAATGTTTTTATTATAAAAGTCTTTAAAACACTTTCTTCAAAATATCCAACATAGCTTTTTTGAACTATTCATTTTTTGGTACCAAAAAAATTCTTATCAAATGATTGTAGAACACAATACTTTACTGTGACAACTGTGTTACAACTTGTATCAGAGTATTTCAGAAGAGTGATCATTTAAGTTTTTTTTTTTGAAGGTTGATTGGAACACTGCCATTTTTCTGTTGACTTAATATTTACATGTATATTTTATCATTTTCAGAGGAAGGTTGAATGTTTTGGCCAATGTCTGCAGAAAACCCCTGGAGAACATCTTCTGTCAGTTTGACTCCAAGTTAAATGAGGAAGATGAGGGCTCTGGAGACGTGAAGTACCACCTGGGAATGTCACACCACCGACTTAACAGAGTCACAAACAAGGAAATCAAAATCGCGGTGGTGGCTAACCCCTCCCACTTAGAGGCCGTGGGTCCCGTGGCTCAAGGCAAGACCAGGCACGAACAGGAGTGTATGGGAGACACCGATGGGAAAAGGGTAGGTAGTGGCAGAACTGAAAGGGAAAAAAGCGTTTGGATTCAAGAATGATTGATACATGTACTGATTTATAGGGAGCTCTTTAGGGGAAAAAAATATATTTAAAAGATTAAAAAATTTAAAACTTTTGTATTTGTAACAGATACTAGTCTCGGGACAAATTTGACGTGTTATTTGTGTATGTTGTAGGTGATGAGCATTCTTTTACATGGTGATGCAGCCTTTTCTGGCCAGGGGGTTGTATATGAGACTCTCCATTTGAGTGACCTACCAGCATTTACCACCCATGGCACCATTCACATTGTGGTCAACAACCAGGTACATTATAACCTATAAAATTTAAGCAATCCACAGAAAATTGGCCCCCACAAATTTTGATAATTCCACAGTTGTTATGGGTTTGGATGTGAAAGACACATATAAAAGCTTACAATGGTTTGATTTACAGATTGGCTTCACCACAGATCCCCGTTTTTCGAGATCCTCCCCCTACCCCACTGATGTAGGGAGGGTGATCAATGCCCCCATCTTCCACGTCAATGCTGACTATCCCGAGGAGGTGGTGTACGTGTGTAAGGTGGCTGCTGAGTGGAGGGCCACATTCGGAAAAGATGTGGTGGTAGATCTGGTGAGTAAATGGGCCAGTCTTTATTTTCTAGTAAAAATTTACACATAAGATCCTGTAGAAAACAAGAGCATGGAAATTTTATTTCGCACAAAAATTATTTCAAAATTATAAATCTTGGTAATTATTTAAAACAAGAAAAAGCTGTCTTAAAACCTTAAATTATTATGCATTTTCCTTCAGGTTTGCTACAGAAGAAATGGTCACAATGAAAATGACAATCCCTATGTAACTCAACCTATTATGTACAAAGCCATAAAGAAACAACAACCAGTGATGGAGAAGTATGCAGATCAGCTTGTCAATTCAGGGGTTGTCACCAAAGAAGATTATAAAGTGAGTACATTTGTTTGGCTAATACATTTATAAACCAAGAGTCTCTACTGAGAGGGTGATAGTGTCATTCTTTTGATTCCTAATGCTAGCACCCCACCTATATTTACTCCTTAGTGAGACACCTTTATGGAAGGGGTGAATTTTAATTACAATGTCATCATTCCTGATGCCAAAATTGTACGTAACCAGGCCAATGCCCATGCTAAATTTTATAACAAATGTAAAATCCATTCATAGTGGGAAAAAGTAGTAAATTTAGATGATTTATTCATGTTCATCTTCAAGCAGTAGTGTTACATGCATGTAGAGACACACATGTTAAAACCTTTCTTGTATTTTCTAGAATGAAATAGAGAAGTATGACCAAATCTGTAAGAAAGCTTATGATGAATCCAAGAATATCCTGGTGAATAAAAACAGTGAGTGGCTGGACTCGCCCTGGGGGGACTTCTTCACTAACAAAGACCAGATGAAGGTGGCTCCCACAGGAATCCCTGAGGAGGTTGTACGTAAACTAGGGGTCCAGGCCAGCTCTGTCCCCGATGATCTCAACGTTCACTCAAGTAAGGAGGAAACTTGTTGAAAAGAAATTGTAATCTTCAGCATTGTTCTTTCCTGTCTGAGTTTTGGCTCAAGAATCTTATAACTTCAGATATGAGTTAAAAATACATACATGCATAAATTAATTAATGTTCCTTGTTTAGTCCAAGTTCTATAAAATTATTGCTTGTTGATATTTACTTTATCAAATAGAAATGTAGAAAAAAAATCCAATGTTTTTAGCATTCAGAAGAATCTCTTTCCTTAAGTTCTGCAAGTTCCATATGTTTTTTTTTTCCACGAAAGTAATGGTTAACTGAAATGCTTGTTAAGGTTTAAGCCGAGTTCTGAAGGCCCGTATGAAGATGGTTGAGGAGAGAACGGTAGACTGGGCCCTGGGGGAGACTATTGCTTACATGTCCCTCCTGATTGACGGCTATCCGGTGAGGCTCAGTGGTCAGGATGTAGAGAGGGGCACATTCAGGTCAGTATATTTAGACACATTAAATGATGAGATGTAAATTGGCTGGAAATATCTATAATACAAGATGTGTTTGTGAAACACTATGCGCCCGGCATCAACAAAGTTCGAAAAAGCTATTTTTAGTATATAGGTCACAGTCAAGGTCACAAGGTCATTGACCTTGGTGTTGTTGGTAAGAACTTAATTAGTGGGGTATTCATACTAAATATAGGTCCCTATCTCCTATGGTTCAAAAGTTATGGCAAAAAGTGGGAAAAGCTATTTTTAGCATATAGGTCACAGTCAAGGTCACATGGTCATTGACCTTGGTGTTGTTTGAAAGAACTTTATTAGTGGAGTATGCATACTAAACATGAAGTCCCTATCTCTTATGGTTCAAAAGTTATGGCAAAAAGTGGAAAAAGCTATTTTTAGCATACAGGTCACAGTCAAGGTTACAAGGTCATTGACCTTGATGTCATTTGAAAGAACCTTTTTAATGAAGTATGCATACCAAATATGAAGTCTCTATCTCTTATGGTTCAAATGTTATAACAAACAGTTGAAAAACCTATTTTTAGCATATAGGTCACAGTCAAGGTCACAAGGTCATTGACTTTGATGTCATTTGAAAGAACTTTATTACAGGAGTATGCATACTAATTATGAAGTCTCTATCTCTTATGGTTCAAAAGTTATGACAAACAGTTGAAAAACCTATTTTTAGCATATAGGTCACATTCAAGGTCACAAGGTCATTGACCTTGATGTCATGAAAGAACTTTATTAAGGAGTATGCATACCAAATATGAAGTCTCTATCTCTTACGGTCCAAAAGTTTTGGCGAAGGTTAAAGTTGACAACAGACAAACAGACAAACAGATAAACAGACAGACAGACAGACAGACAGGACAAAAATAATATGCACCCCGAAAAAATTCGGGCGCATAAAAAAAAATATCATTTTTCTGATAAATTGTACCTTTGATAATGAAATTGAAAGTGGTTTTGAGAAGCAAATTAGTATTTCCAATAAATTAGAATGTAAAGTCAAATTATTAAAATCATGTTTGTAGTATTTTATTTCCTACTTATACAGAAACTTTTAATTCAGTGCTCAATGTTAAAAATCTATTTTTAGTCACCGTCATCATGTGATCCATGATCAGAACATTGACAAGAAGACGTACTGTCAGCTGAATGACCTGGACGGACTGTTTGAGGGGAAGAAGCCTGCCCCCTACACCGTGTGTAACAGCTCTCTCTCAGAGTACGCTGTGTTAGGTAGGTCTGACATTAGTCATATTATTTAGAACACACCCAGTTATAAGTTTTCTCTTTAGAAATGAGTGGCTATTCAATATGGAATAGGTTTTATTACCTTGAGTTCCCTGGAGTATACACATGTCAAAATTATATTTTCAGTAGTTTGACAAAGTTCCTACTGATAAAGTTACCCATTTATCTTAATTGCAAAATAAATTGGTCAAAACTTGTGTCAGTATTATCAAATATTTCAAAGCAAATTTAAGTGCATGCTAGGTTTATGTTGTTTTTTTTTTGTTTTTTTTTTAAAATATTTAAGAGTCGTGTTATTCAAAATCTGTGACAATATTTTTGTAACTTTGTAGGATTTGAGGTGGGCTTCAGTCAGGTGGATCCTAACTGTCTGGTCCTGTGGGAGGCCCAGTTTGGAGACTTTGCTAACACAGCTCAGCCAATCATTGATCAGTTTATCTCCTGTGGACAAGATAAGTGGGTCAGACAGCTGGGACTGACCCTCTTACTCCCTCATGGGTATGAGGGCATGGTAGGTAGATTTTGATTTGGTTACAATGACAATTTATTATACCCCCACACTCCAAGAAGAGGGGGTGTGCTGCTTTACCCTTGTTTTGTTACATGTACGTTACTTCTTAGATGTAATATGAATAATTGCATTGAACTAACATGAACAACTGTACTCACTGTTACAGGGTCCTGAACACTCCAGTGCTCGATTTGAGCGATTTCTACAGATGTCTAATGATGACCCCAGTCAGGAGCTGGTAAGTGTTGCCAGCACAGTGTTGCCAATACAGGGCTGTTATCTTGCCTAGCCTGGGGTGTAGGTTTCATAGGTTCATATAGGTAACCTAATGATTGTAATTATTATAGATTCAGTGTTTCATTTAATCAGGTTAAAATATGATGGTGTTCATTAATGAGAAGTTCCCAAGCACCTACTAATACATGTATATAGTTTACTAATCTTATCGTTCACGTCACTGTAATAACTTTGAAATAGTAAAGGATGTACATGTTAATTTTGTACCCAGTCGATGTTTATTAATAGTTTAAAACACTCTATGTCTAGAATTATGTCTTTATACACTGAGAATATCGGTTCAGACAGGAATGCTCGGAGAGTGAAAAGTGGCTTTATATGTGTAATATAGAAGACTGATCTGATTTAAATATTGGCACGAACGAATGTATTTTTACAGATCCTACAAAAACTGGAGGTAAAAAATTAGAAAACCATGGAATGACTCTGCTGTTGTGCTCAAAGCCATCATTACATTTCACGTCATTTTAAATCATATACCCTCTCTCTAAGTGTAGTTATCATATTATCACTGGTTTTGATAAAGTAATACATGTACATGTACAGATTTATATGAAAATTCATATGATCATATACAAGGGTAACCATTTTAACATGCCCTGTTTTTAATATTGGAGGCTTTTTCCATCTCTCTGTCTTTCCGTAAGCATTTGTGTCTAGGTTATATTTCTCACTCTGAGGCCTAAGACCATCAATCCTTGTCCGTTCATGCACCTTGGGGTGAATGTGTTTTGCAACCGCAGACAAGGTCATCATGGCCTCATTTTGGATGTATCATTTCATATCTTTCACTCTGTGAAGCTTGCGACCATCAAACCTTGTCAGTTGATGTTTCTTAAGGAGGAAGGTGTGTCGCAAAGTAGGTCACTGAGGTCTCATTTGGAATTTATGGCTATACTTATTCAAATGGTCAAATGGTGTCCAGGTGATTACATGTACTTGCAAATTATGAGACTTGGAAGGATGTTTTCATGAGGCAGTGGAACAAGGAAGTCCAATTCCAAACTGAGCAATAGAGTCCCCCATTACCTTTTCTTGAAAAAGAACACTATTCACGACTTACAAAGAACATTTTATAATTCTGTCAGATTGTTGAGAATGACTTGCATGTACATGTATATTGCAACTTACTGTGTAGTCCCATTATGATATACTTCTGGGTGGATGTTACTTTAGAAACAGAAAAAAAAATGACAGATGATGAAGGGGATATGGTTGCATCACTGTAAACATACATTTACATTGAATACTGTATACATTCTATTGATTTTCATGGCATGAAATGCTTGATTCATTGGCTTATTGCCTGTAACTTGAACCTGGAGATGAAATGCTTGATTCATAGGCTTATTGCCTATAACTCAAACTGTGAGATGAAATGCTTGATTCATATAGGCTTTTTGCCTATAACTAAAACTTTGGAAGAATGCTTGAGTTATAAGCTTATTGCCTATAGCTCAAACCTTGGAAATCATTGCAAGTATGAAATAAATGATTATATTTTGAATAAAAACTTTGGAGCTTCACAAGCTTTGAGATTAAAACCTAAAGCGCACTGCTCATTTAGAAATATGAATGCTCCATTAAGACATGAACTGCATTAAAATCATTTAATTTGAAAATGAACCTGAATTGTCAAACAACCAATGGTTGAAGTAAAATAAGTGATTCTTGTATTCAAACAAAAAAAATGTTATCTGCTTACCCAGCTGTGCTGTTTTTACCTGACACAGATAATGTCTCTCAATGCTATGTATTTTGATTTTTACTCCTTGGTCAAATAATACATGTTGTTGTATTTCATGGAATGTGCCTCCTTTATAGAAAATTGATTACATTATGAATATAGATTTGATGTTGTATAAATTAGATGAATAATTTGCATTATAAAATGGGTTCACTTACTTTACAAGTACCTTCTGAATATACTTGTTTATTCGTTAGCTCGAGATACATGTATGCAAGTTTTTTGTGTCATGAGAATCCTTTTCATTTTTAGCATAGCCGATGGCTTGATTGCCACATTTTCTCCGTCGTCCGTCTGTCTGTCCGTCTGTAAACTTTTCACATTTTCGACTTCTTCTCAAGAACCACTGGGCCAATTTTGACCAAACTTGGTACATAGCATCCTTGGGTGAAGGGGAATTTAAATTGTTAAAATGAAGGGCCAAATCCCGTCATATAAGACAAAAATATGGTGGGGTCATTAAAAAATCTTCCTCTCAAGAACCACTGGGCCAGAAAAGCTGAAACTTATGTGGAAGCATCCTGGGTAGTGTAGATTCTAAATTGTTCAAATCATGACCCCCGGGGGTAGGGCGGGGCCACAATGGGGAATCAAAAGTTTTACATAGAAATATATAGGAAAAATCTTTGAAAATCTTGTTCTCAAGAACCACTGGGCCAGAAAAGCTGAAAATTATGTGGAAGCATCCTGGGGTAGTGTAGATTCTAAGTTATTCAAATCATGACCCCCGGGGGGTAGGGGGGGCCACAATGGGGAATTGAAGTTTTACATAGAAATATATAGGAAAAATCTTTGAAAATCTTCTCCTAAAGAAACACTGGGCAAGAAAAGCTGAAACTTGTGTGGAATCATCCTGGGGTAGTGTATATTCTAAATTGTTCAAATCATGACCCCCCAGGGGTAGGGCTGGGCCACAATGGGGAATCAAAGTTTTACATAGAAATATTTAGGAAAAATCTTTGAAAATCTTCTTCTCAAGAACCACTGGACCAGAAAGCTGAAACTTATGTGGAAGCATCCTGGGTAGTGTAGATTCTAAATTGTTCAAATCATGACCCCCAGGGGTTGGGCAGGGCCACAATGCGGAATCAAAGTTTTACATACAGTGTAGAAGTATAGAGGAAAATCTTTGAAAATCTTCTTCTCAAGAACCACTGGGCCAGAAAAGCTGAAACTTATGTGCACATGGAAGCATCCTGGGGTAGTGTAGATTTCAAAATGTCTAAATTTTGATCAGTGGGGTAGGTTGAGGTCGCAATATGTATTAAAAGGGGGAAATCTGGTAAAGAACAGAATGGTCAAAGCTTCTCAGGTGAGCGATGTGGCCCATGGGCCTCTTGTTTATTTCTAGCTGTACTTAATATCTTAAGTTATTTAAAGCATGCTGTTCCATGCATTGTTCTTTGTTAACATCTCTTTGTTAATATCATCTTAATTATGTTAACACCATTTAACTTTCACTTGAATTCACCATACTGTTAGAGAGAATTTTCAATATCTTTGAACATCTCATATTTTTATATGGCAACCATTTTAAAATTGGTTTTCATTTTGTTCAACTTTACTTTCCAATTTGAAAGACTTTTTGATTTATTAACTTTTCTGAAATGTTTTCCTTATTTCCATTGTCTACAAGTTTGAATTCCAGTTTAATTTTGAAATACATTCCTATGTTTCCAGATATTTGGCGATGACTTTGCCATGCAGCAACTTCATGACATCAACTGGTTTGTGTGTAACATCTCCACCCCAGCCAACTTCTTCCACGCCATCCGTCGACAGATCCTGCTGCCCTTCAGGAGACCAGTAAGTCAAATAAAACAAGGTGCTTTGTTTATAGATGATCACACTTGTACTATCAAAGTTCTGACAGTGTTAAAAGCTCATCTTCTTCAGGAGGATGCCTGATTCTTAATGTAAGGATTAATAGTACATGTATGTAAATAGCCTGAAAATAAATGTTTAAAAAAATACTTTGTACTATGTAAGAAGAGTAAAGGACAAGTAGAATCAGTATCATCAACTCTATATCATATTCTTCCTGGAACTTATGACTAGAGACATTTTTGTCATCAATCAACATTGATTTTATTCTCTTAGTCCTATGTCACCAATTAGCGATTTATCCTTTCAGCTGATAGTTATGAGCCCCAAGGCCATTCTTCGTCTCCCTGAGGCCAGGTCCTCCTTTGATGAGATGATCGGGGACACAGAATTTCAGAGAATTATTCCAGACAACGGACCGGCCTCAGAGAATCCAGAGGCAGTTAACAAACTGGTCTTCTGTACAGGAAAGGTGTACTATGAAATCGCCAAAACCAGAAAAGTGACTGAGAAGGAAGGTGAAGTGGCTGTTGTACGCATTGAGCAGGTATTTTTAAAAAGATTATTAATTGTTACATCTTTATAAAAAAAATTTCCCTCATCTTTCATATCAATTCAGCTGCTTTGCATATATCACAATTATATAGAATCAAAAAGTGCATTTGTTATCAGAAAAAAAAAAATACCACTGACTACTTTATTTTGGAGTTCAGCTATTTGTGATGCTGTTTTAATGCTCTGAATGCTTGTTTTGATGAAATTAAAGACATTACATTTTTAGCTCTACTGGTCAGAGACCAGAAGAGCTTATGTGATAGTAATGCGTCCGGCGTCCGTCCGTCTGTCTGTCTGTCTGTCTGTCCGTCTGTCTGTCCGTCTGTCTGTAAACAATTTTTCAAAACGCTACTCCTCCTACATTTTTAGTCTGATTTCAATATTACTTGGCACACAAGTAGACTACATTAAGATACATAGAATAGTGCATCGGTTTTTGATTTCGATGAACGGTGTTGCCATAGTTACTAAAAATAGAATTTTCTGTGAAATTCCTTTAAAAAACTACTCCTTCTACAGTTTTGGTCTGTTTTCAATATAACTTGGCACACAAGTAGACTACACTACGATACATAGAATAGTGCATCAGTTTTTGATTTCGATGAACGGTGTTGCCATGGTTACTAAAAATAGAATTTTCTGTGAAATTCCTTAAAAACGCTACTCCTTCTACAGTTTTGGTCTGATTTCAATATAACTTGGCACACAAGTAGACTACACTAAGATACATAGAATAGTGCATCAGTTTTTGATTTCGATGAATGGTGTTGCCATGGTTACTAAAAATAGAATTTTCTGTGAAATTCCTTAAAAACGCTACTCCTTCTACAGTTTTGGTCTGATTTCAATATAACTTGGCACACAAGTAGACTACACAAAGAAACATAGAATAGTGCATCGGTTTCTAATTTTGATGAACGGTGTTGGCATGGTTACTAAAAATAGAATTTTCTGTGAAATTCTTTAAAAACACTACTCCTTCTACAGTTTTGGTCTGATTTCAATATAACTTGGCACACAAGTAGACTACACTAAGATACATAGAATAGTGCATCGGTTTTTGATTTCGATGAACTTTGTTGCCATGGTTACTAAAAATAGAATTTTCTGTGAAATTCCTTTAAAATGCTACTCCTTCTACAGTTTTGGTCTGATTTCAATATAACTTGGCACACAAGTAGACTACACTAAGATACATAGAATAGTGCATCGGTTTTTGATTTTGTTGAACGGTGTTGCCATGGTTACTAAAAATACAATTTTCTGTGAAATTCCTTAAAAACACTACTCCTTCTACAGTTTTGGTCTGAATTCAATATAACTTGGCACACAAGTAGACTACACAAAGGTACATAGAATAGTGCATCAGTTTTTAATTTTGATGAACGGTTTTGCCATGGTTACTAAAAATAGAATTTTCTGTGAAATTCTTTAAAAACGCTACTCCTTCTACAGTTCTGGTCTGATTTCAATATAACTTGGCACACAAGTAGACTACACTAAGATACATAGAATAGTGCATCTGTTTCTGATTTCGATTAACGGTATTACCATGGTTACTAAAAATAGAATTTTCTGTGAAATTCCTTAAAAACGCTACTCCTTCTACAGTTCTAGTTTGATTTCAAAATAGGTTGGCACACAAGTAGACTACACAAAGATACATAAAATAGTGCAATGGTTTTTGATAAGTACAAACCAGTAGAGCTACAGTCTCGACAGAGACTTCTGGTTCTTCCAACCTCTAGGTTTCTCCATTCCCCTATGATCTGATTAGGGATGAGATTGATAAATATCCTAATGCCAGCATCTCCTGGGTTCAAGAAGAACATAAAAATATGGGTGCATTCCAGTATGTGGAACCCAGACTTCGTCACCTTCTGATGAATATGGGAAGAGATGAAAAAGTCAAGTAAGTAGTTATAACACATAATCGATGATCTCATGTCTCCATATGAAATGATGATCCTCAAGAAATTGTCCCTTGGCTAATGTACAGTCATGTTACCTTTTGTAGTTTGGAAAAAATTACAACCATGATCGGAAGAATTTGTACAGTCTAAGTTTCATTTACCAGAGGTTTTGAATTCTTTGTTATTCAAGATCCTGCATCACTGATGTTTACGATTTAAATTTGATGATGAATTCAACAAGAAATTGATTTAATGGCAATTTTTATTTGAAATTTAACTGACCTCTGTGAATGCCTTTATTCAGATATGAAGCCTAACTTAATATTCACCCTTTTATTAACAGTACATGTATACATAATCGTTCTTAACATTTGCAAAGATTAGCAGTTTGAATGATCATTAGAAGAATGTTCCTGAATGTTCCTTTCCTTTATCTTGTTTTAATCTTTTTCTTCAAACACAGGAAAACATCTCTTTATACTAACACTGTATGCCATAAAATTTATGTTAAAAACAATTTCAACAAACCTTTTTTTTTAGGTATGAGGGACGTTTTCCGGCTGCCTCCCCAGCTGCTGGTAACAAACAACTCCATGAGCAGGAGTTGGACGCTTTCATGAGCAACGTCTGCAATCCTGATTTCTACTGAAACAGCTACAACAGTGAATCCAGAACAGAATTTATATAATGTTAACGTGAAATCAAAACCAGAACACCAAATGCCACTGATTGTGCCTAAATTGTTTTGTTCTTGACTTCAGCACTTATATATTTTTTTTCCTCCATTTTAAAGCAACATGTGCATGAATGCTTGTCTTATGAAAGAATGAACATAACAAAGGAGCATAATTCTTTGGACAGAATCTCCATGATGCTATATTTTTCTGGGTTGGATTTTTCTTTTCAGTTTCACAGAAAAAAAGATATATTAGTCAAATGTATTACATGTATAATAAATTTATGTGATTAAATTTATTGCAAAGATATTTTTCCCATGTAATTTTGTGTGATATGCAACCTATTTCTGTTTAAAAGGCAATTATTTTTTTTTTCTCCAATTGTTAAATTTTATTGTTGATTTGTTGCAAATGTTATCAATGATTTATGTGTGTAGAATCTTTTTGTTTATTTTAAAGGAGGTAGTTTTAGCAGACTTGCTTTTTCTTCACCAGAACTTGTATGAAGTACAATTTCAGGGACTGTTTTGTAGAGGGGGTGTAACCTCTTGTCACCAGTGAATTAACTATATCTTGTGATTACATTTAAAACCAGAAATATTTTACACTTTAATAGATTCATAATTCTTTTCTTGTATTTTTCTTTTGACTTTAGTAGCATTGAAGTACTTAAATGGAGTGAATGCAAAAGATTTCTAAACATAATAATGATAGCAGAATAAAAATTGTTCACAAAGTACTTGTACTTAATTTGTCATTTATAGGTTACTATGAATTGTTTCAATTTACATTTCACTCTGTAAACAATTTATAGAATCTCGATAAGCTTTTTGAATTATATTACATACACAATTTATGACCAAATATGAGGGCTACAACGTCTAAAGAAAGCAAGTCTAAGGCCTATGATTTTGAGGTTCCAACAAATCATCTATAGCTGTAATCACAGATTTGGTGTTTTCTCCACTTCCATTTTACGGGGAATTGTTACAAAGTACAATATGGCTTAGTTTATTCAACAAAACTAACAAAGATCCTCATCATGTAAGACATTAGTAATGAACAATTTGAACAGTTTAGATTAAACTTGCATAACAACTTAACAATTGTCATCTAAGTTTTTCTTTGATTTTAATTGTCATCTAAGTTAACAATGATCATCTTTTAGGAAATCTGCACATTCATATTGTATACAGGATATGTAAAAGCATATCCAAGTCAATAGTAGAAAATTCATCAGAGAAATAATGTACAATTTTAATGGGATTTGATGAATATTTCTGGTTTGTAATGTATGTTAAATTATTTTGTAAAAAGAATGTAAACAAGATAAATACTAATGTTTTATTTATTTGATTAGAATTTTTTTGACTTGTATGTCTCCACTTCGCCATTGCAAAGAACTACAGATTATTTATAATTTTGCAGATAATAAAAAATTACAGCTTATTCTTGTTCTTGTTATTTTTTTCTCTTCCTGTGTTGTTGATCTTGTGAGTACATGTACATAGATCAATGAAAATCAAATCTGTAAACCAAGCAGAAAATTAACTTCAATTTAAAAACTTAATGTTCTTCAAAATTGCCAGAGAAATATAGGTAGTGCAAGTTTAAATTGGAACGTATCCTATACTTGAATTACTGAAAATGAAGTTTCATGCAGATTAAGAATTATTTAAAAATGTTGAATACAAATAAAATTATACTGATCAAGTGAACAAGTTGTATAATAATAATAATTTTACATAATTTGCAAAAGTGACATATTTGAATCATTTCATATTTCCTGAAATGAAAATTGCTTATGGTTACATAAGTATAACAATGAGTAAGACCATCTTTAAAAAAATGTTTGGTTGCCCTCTCCCGACCGACTAACTAAAAATGACCTGATTCAAAACTTCTTTTTTACATTCCAGGTCACAATATTCCTCTTTTCCATTCAAAAAATATGTTGAAATGTTGTGGTCAAAGATTTTCCCTACCTACCCAATAATTTTACCCCTGAGTCTGGAGAGGGCAAGCAATCATTTTAAAAGATGGCCAAAATTGAAGAGTTTTAAAAAGCTTTGCATATGAGAGTTTGTTAGGAATGCACAAGATCTTTAAATAGAATAAATACTTTTTTGAAAACACATAAAACTTAAAATTCAAACAATATGTTATACCGTGTAACTAGTTTTACCCAATGCTGAAAAGCAAGAGTCATCTGCCTTTGATGAACTCTTCCACAAAGTGAGACGCAAAACAACCTTGGAAAAATGAAAAATAGTTGATGTATGTCCTGTGATGAATCATTTTTAAATTACACGTTGGTGTATATATATAAACTTTGATACCATTACAACATTCAAGTTTATTTCATAAGATTAAGATGTCTTGGGGAGCGCCTGGTGCAAGACCTCAATATGTAAGTGTAACTGGAATAGATTATAGAAACTACTCTGTACTTTCAATTTCTTGATAAGCTGATTTACTGATAAGGAAATGTGATGATGAAGAAAATATATAACAGGAACTTTTCATGTTAACTGGTGTTCTGATCACAAGGGAGACTTGTATATTTTAATCATAAGCTCAGACAGAATACCCAACATTTGTGTTAAAAGTAATATACATTACATTTCTATACAAACATATCAAGATAGTCTTATATTTTTTGGAACAGGGTGGTTATGGACAACCACAGGGTGGTGGATACAACCCATCAGCTCCCCCTGGTGGTGGAGGATATGGTGCCCCTCCCCCTTATCAACAGCAACGACCATCAGGATATGGACAGCCGCCCCCTCAATATGGTGGAGGAGGAGGATACCAACAAAGTGGCTACCAGCAGCCACCTCCACAGTCTGGATATGGAGGGTATGGTGGAGGACCCCCTCCACAGGGGTATGGTGGTCCAGGCCCCGGGGGACCACCTGGGGGTTATGGCCCGCCCCCACCTCCAGGAGTCACGCAAGATGTGTGGAACATGTTTCAGGTCTCTTTTTGTTCCCCAACTTGTTTCTTGGCTCTTTATAAATCTTAATGGACAAGTATATCCCTTGTTTGATCTTTTGTACAGAATTGATCGAAATAGTAAATGCAGGGACATATGTACTTTGAGATAGGCAACTACTTCAGCACTATGTTTATTTTCCCAGTGCATCATATTCATATACAACAGTTAACATTTTAGAAACTGTATTATCCCCAGTAATAAAACAATTTCTTTTGTAACAAATTTAATCTTTTCTTTTTGTTTCTCTGAAGTGGATTTTTAAAGCATGCATAATAAAATAATTTCCCTATGAAGCAAATAAAATGAAGTAAATTGTCAAATGTAAGGAAGATAAGGGGCATGCATTGATTTGGAATATACAAAATGATTAAGCTATTGTTTATAAAATGAATGCCCAAACCCAGGCTAAATTCATTAGTTAATAATTAACATGAGAAATTTTGCAACATATAAGATATTGCAAGAGTTGTCTATTCCATTAGTGATATATGTCCCTGCTGAAAGTCAAAATTTTCTGCATTACATATTTTGCATATTTACTACCGAATATTGTGTTGTGATTTTAGGCAGTAGAGAAAATTTTCCCTGAAGATCTAATTTTTCCCTTTTGATGAGTAAAATATTTCCCTTACATAAAAAATAGCCTCAAATATTTTTTTCCTTCATAAAAACTGTAAATTTAAAGTGAATTTTGAGCATGACAAATATGTTTTATTTGTACTTTATGTGCTTTAATTGGTCATAAAAATGCTGAAATTCAATTGGCCCCCAAGCAGGGCTTGCCTAATGAATTGCAATTGGTTCCCAACCCTGCCTGTAGACTCATTTTCCCATGTTTCTCCAGAAAGTGAGTAACAAATTTCCCCATAAACCTAGATGTCCCATGATTTTCTGTAATTTCTTTTTTGCCAAAAATTTATATTAAAATGCGAATATATTGTATGAACAATTGTGATTTTAGGCAGTAGACCAGGACAGATCAGGAAAGATAACTGCTGTGGAGCTTCGACAAGCACTATTGAATGGAAACTGGTCCCCTTTTAACCATGAAACATGTCGTCTAATGATCGGCATGTTTGATCATAACAAGTGAGTTTGTGATAATGAGCATGACAATGTTGTTGTTATTTGTAGGCCGTAGATCAAGATAGGTCTGGTCAAATTAGTGCACAAGAGCTCCAGTTTGCTCTAATGAATGGCAATTGGTCTCCATTCAACCCTGAGACCTGTAGGCTCATGATTGGCATGTTTGATCGAAACAAGTGAGTTAACAAATTTCTTGTGAACCCTTAGATGTGCCCATGATTATTCCCAAATAATTTCTTTTTCATGAAAAAATTTATATTAAAATGCGAAAGCCAATCATTGAAAATCTATGTTTACTTATTAAAATAGATTTTCAGGAATCAATCATTTTGTTTGGAAATGAAGTACCGATAGAACCCAAAACTTCTGTTTTGTATGAGGTTGTCGATAATTCATTATTCATATCAGTCACAAAGAGCGTGGATAGAACATCAGTTAATTAGATATTGCATGAATACTTTTAACTACATTTTGAAAAATCATAGATTCAGACATGGCATTCAAAATGTTCAATAAGTCTTAGGTGGTGCATATGTATGCAGTCAATTCAAAGTGTATATAGATTAAGAGCTGTTGCTTATTTAGAAGTTTAAGATTTGAGAGGTATGCATGTGATGATGGTGTTCTTTCTGTTATTTGTTTCAAATTCTCTTGTTGTTTTTGAACTAATATTATCACATTACAAATGAGCACATTCCTTAAAAGTAATCTGAAATATTTATGCTCTAGTTATAAATAATCATGAAATTAATTTATACAGTGTTCCCAATTTGGGTGAGCCATGTTGTACTTTGTATTATAGATTGCTCACTTTGATACATGTTCTCTGATTCATGTTTTTTTTCTTTGCATTTAATTTATTACTGTTCAGATTATTAAAGTTTAAAGCAATATGAGCTGCATTTTAAAGAATTTTATTTTGTTATATGCATGTGTCTTATGGGCCAATAAACTTTTTTCTTTGGGTAGTGTAGTTATTAAATTGTTAAATTCATGACCCCAATATAAATTCAAGTTTTACATAGAAATATATAGAACAAATCTTTAAAAATAATCAAACTGGGCCAGGAAAGCTGAAACTTATGTGGAAGCATCCTGTAGTGTATATATTTAGGATTGTTAAAATCATGACCCCCAGGGGTAGGGTACAGTATGAACCCAAATTTTACATAGAAATATATAGAACAAATCTTTAAAAATCTTCTTCTCAAGAACCACTGGGCCAGGAAAGCTGAAACTTATGTGGAAGCATCCTTGGTTAGTGTAGATTTCTTGTTAAAATCATGACCCAGGGGAATTGGCCACATTAGGGAGTCATAGTTTTATATAGAAATATATTGGAAAAATCTTCTTCTCAAGCACAGTGGGCCAGGAAATAAAACTTGGGTGGAAGCATCCTGGGGTAGTGTAGCTTTATTAAAATAAAGATGGGGGTTGGGATTAATGTAAGTAGAGGGGAAATCTGGTAAAGAACTGCATCACCAAAGTTACTCAGGTGAGCGATGTGGCACATAGGCCTCTTGTTCATTAGAAAATAACAGTAATTTACTGAAAAATATACATGTACATTGTAAATGTTTTTAGGAAATAAGAATGTTAAATTGCATTTATTTTTTCACTCTTTATGTTAAATATTTTATGTAACACTTTTTAAAATTGTTCATTTTAGGAATGGAACAATTGATGCCCAGGAATTTGCAGCATTATGGAAATATATCCAAGATTGGAAAGCATGCTTTGAGAGGTTAACAAAACTTAATGAACTATTAGTGATTCAAATTGCAGTTCACAATCACTTTTCCATAGACTACTACATGTATATCTTCATTGAGATTTGGTTTCATTTTTTTTAAATACAAAATTTGCCTCATTATAATGAAAGATTAACATGTTTTCTTTTGAAAAATGAAATTAAGCCATAAGAATATGTGTCATGATAATTTTTTTGCTTACATGCACAGAAAATGTAACAGAATATGGCATTGTGTTGTACATGTCAACAGTTGCAAAGGAAATTTAATTTACACTGTGCTTTACATGTTTACAGGTTTGATACAGATAGATCAGGAAACATTGATGCTAGGGAACTTCACACTGCCTTCCAGACATTCGGTTATAACCTGTAAGCCATTTATTTTTTTATTTTTTGGCTTGTATATAAGGAAGTGACACTGACTCATACATGTGTATATCTCCAGAGGCCAATATGAGTTATCTCCCTGTTGCAAAATGAACTGCTGCTATTTAAAGATTTGACTCAGAGTCAGCACAAACCTCTTATCATGAATAAGGCACTAATTAGTCAATGCTGAAGTACTAATCTGAAATAATGTGGTATATGACACGTCAAGCACTTTTAATTAAAAGTCATGAAATGCAGGTGTTATATATACATGTACCTGAGATATTTGCAACATACAAATAAAATCAATTTGGTTATTTTCTTTTCATTTTATTTTTATGAATTATTTCAATTTTTTGTAATGATTGTAATTTTAGTTCTCCCCAGTTCTGTGATACTGTAGTCAGAGTGTTTGATCGACGTGGTGCCAGGAACATCAACTTTGACGACTTCATTCAGGCCTGTGTGATGCTAAAGACCCTCACAGACAAATTCAGGGTGAAGGACACACAGCAGAGAGGGGTTATAAACATCAGCTATGAAGATGTAAGCTTTTAAAACACTTAAAGCTCAGGAGTTCCTAAAATTTTAATACGTTATTTATTGTTTTTGTTACTGTAAGGCTATATCTGTTACAAAACATTCAGATAGAAGGAAACAAATTTTACATTGTTTTGTGTGTGTGTGTTTTTTCCCAAACTAAAATCTTTAAATGCAAATCGTCTAGAAGAAATTAATAAGAATGAAATGACTGTAAAAAATTATTCTATAAACTATTTATCCCCCCAAAATCACATTGATCATGCTGTGTAATGTGTTTTCACCATTGCCAAACATGACTGAATAACAATGATCGAAAACTGTACTGTACCAAAAATGAAGTTTTTGTAATTTGTATCAAACTGGGAAAAAATACCACAGTAGACTGATTTGATATTGATGAACCTTTCACTCAAATTAAAAGTTGTTTTTTAATTGTGCTTCATAAAAATGAAGCCGCAATGAAACTTATTTGTCCAAGCCCTAATTATTTTAAAAGATCAGAGGAATTCATAAAAATTTCAATTAAATTCATGAAATTTCTTTTCTCAATTTTGAGAAACCAGTACCGGTAAACCCTTTCATTTACTAGATCCTCAGTTTAAAGTTTGTCTAACAGACATTTCATATTTAATATTCCAGGAAATCCTAATAAATTGGCTTTAATAAGTTATGCCCCTTTCAAGTTATTCTTTTTGGAGAGAAGTACTATGAATAATGTCAATAATTAAAATTAGTCATATTTTGTTATGTTGCTGTAACAAAATACAGTGTGTGGTATAAATGACACAATATTAAGTGTACCCATGATTTTTATTAGAAGATTTGAGGGTGTATAGTTTTTGCCTTGTTTGCCTATCTTTCTGTCTGTCTGTCTGTCTGGAAAAACTTTAACAATGCCTATAACTTTTGATTAGTTGGAGCTATGGCTTTCAAATGGTACATGTATATTGCTTGTGATAAAACCTTCATTTGAATACCAACAATTTTGATCGTTTGATCTTGACCTTGGAGTTGGAGCCACTGTTGCAAATATTTACCCAATTTTATAACCTTAGCTATAACTTCTGAACAGTTGGTACTAGGGCTTTCAGATTTCAGATTTTAAGTTATTATTACAAGACCTTTCCATTGGTTTAAATATTCTTGACCTTATAATTTGAACCACTTTTGAAAATTTAAACCTTGGCCATAACTTTTGAACAGTAGGAGTAGGGCTTTGAAATTTCACAGGTTTATTCCTTTTGACAACAACCTTTGGATACCAACAATTTTGTCCTTTTGAGTGGCGTCGGTAGTCTAGTGGTTAAGGTGCCGGACTCCAAACAGAAAGGTTGTGAGTTCGAATCTTGGCTGCGGCAAGTCAACGTTGTGTCCTGGGGAAAGGCACTTTACACAAATTTCCTCACTCCACCCAAGTGTAAAACGGGTACCTGGCTATAGACAGTGAAAGATATTGTCAGAATGTTAGTGTTCTAGCACCTTAACAGCAGCTTGCACTGAGAAAGATTCTGGATTGTTATGGTCTGCTGGGGTAATAATGTATTGTAAGGTGCTTTGAGTAGCATTTATGCTAGAAAAGCGCTATATAAAAACAATCATTATTATTATTATTATCTTGACCATGGAGTTTGACCTACTTTTGAAAAATTTTAACCTTCACCACAATTTTAAACCATTAATATGTAGGATGGAAAGGAGAAGTGAGTAAATATACATGTACATTGAAAATTCATAAATACATACCGTATATGCAGAATTTTTAGCAAGGATTTAATTTGGCATTATTAGCGAGGGTGTTGAGATCGCTAAAATTAAATATTGCTAAAAATTAATTGCATTTTATCTGTAATAGCTTCTATAGTGAGCATTTAAAATCACTAAAATTACATCTCACTAAGATTAAAGTACCAGTTTTTAAGGACAAATTGCTAAATTTGCCTCTTGCTAAAATTTCAACTTATATGGTATATAATGATAAATATATGGCTGGACTGATTTCTAGTCAGGTGCTCTAACCACTGAGCTATCCAAGCCGACGTCCTCAGTCAAGCCTAAATTCCTACTTTCCCCCCTCTTTAATCTTCACCCCTGAAGACACAAGTTCACCTTGTTAGGACATAACATTAATAATATACTATTTGTTATTTTGACTAAACAAGGTAGGCCACAGCACCATCTGTAGTATGGGAAGGAGGAATGAACAAACTTATACACTGTACATTGAAAATTCATAAATACATATATATTGATAAACATATGACTGGACTGGGAATTGATCCTGGGACCCCTGCATTACTAGTCAGGTGCTCTAACCACTCTGCTTTCCTGCCTGATGTCCTCAGTCAAGCCTAAATTTCGACAAGTGCAAGGGCTTTTATATTTTGCATGTATATTTCTTGTGACAGGGACTTCCCTTGCTTACTATTTAATAATTTTGACATTGACGTTGGAGTATGATCTTTTTTTTTTTTCTTTTAGAAAACATTAACCTTGACAATAATTTTTTAATGGTTGATGCCTGGGCTTTCATATTTTACCAGGTATATCCATTGTCACAAGTCCTTTCTTATGGGTAACAACATTTTAGATCTCTTGACCTTGACCTTGGAGTTTGACTTGCATTTGAGAAACTTTCAGCTTTGCCTTTAGCTGTCATACGGGGGCATCAGTGTAAACACATTTTGTTCATTATATTTATTCTTTATTCAATGAGAAAGTCATTGTAAATGTCATATTGTTTGTCCACAAGTCCAATTTTTTTCAGTTCCTTGAGATGGTTTTGGACAACACCATTATGAATGTGAAGTGATCTCTCGGACTGCCCACGTAATTCTTGTTGACCATATCTTCCACACAGGGACACAACAAATCATCAGTTGACCACAGTTCATCATTCCCAGCACTGATTTCACTTGTTAATCTTCTCAGCTTTTGATGAGATAGCTGTTATATTTATTGATATTCAGTAGAGTCAGGATTTTCCCCTGATATGTATATTTTTAATGTAGATTTTTCATTACTCTTTATTATGTGTAGTTCAGGAATGATATTTGTGTGTAAAAATCAATAGAAACTGCTGTTTTTTTGGTCAATTTTTATCATATCAACACTGCAAAAAACCTGTTAGATATTTTGTAACTTAGTTCTTTATGTCATAAAAATGACTTGAAAGAAAGTTTGCATTGAACAAATTTTATGCTTATCATATGTGGAGGGGGTGGGTGTTTGAAAATGTTATGAACTATTTTTTTTGTACAACTTTGATGTCATATGACATGGGGCTTAATTGACTCTCGAAAAAATATCATTCTTCTAAAATTCTTTCTATTTCATGATAAAATAAATGTAGGTGGGGGTGTATATCTGAAGTGGTTATGAAGAATGGGGGAGAGAGTGTGTGTGTGTGTGTGATGAAGAATAGAAATTTGCCTCACAAAGCTTTGCTTTCTGTTTGATCTTATAGGTAATGAATGAATTGTCAAGGGCTTTCTGTATAATCATTTTACTTTACAAAAATATCACCCTGTGATCATGTCTTGTTATTATTGAAATTCTTAATTGATTAATGCATCACTTTGCATTCTTAATTAAATTCTTTTCTTCTCTGTGTTATTTTTAAATGCATTTTATTGAATCCTTTGATCAGGTGTTGCCTGCAGGCAATTAATATTAATCAGTGCAGTTTGTCAGCAAATCTTATAATTAATCTTGTTCTTGAACAAGTCCCAAGTATTTTACAAGTATAAGCAAGTTATTCTAGAATTTAGTGTTGTTAGTTATTATAATCGTAAATTTATCATTTTTTTCATACATGTTTATACATTATGTACCTTGTGTGAGTAAATCAATTGTTCATAGAAATAATCATAAATAAATGAAAAAAGACTATGATATATGGTGTTTAGCATTTATTTCATCTTTGAAAGCAGCATTTTATTTTACTAGTAACGAATCCATAAACATTGAGACTAATCTATAGCTTATTTTCCGTGGATTTCGCTAGTCTCATTGTACTTTTATAAATGCTGGTATTTCACTTCGAGTTATTGCCCTTACCACCTTTAGAAAACAAAGTTGCAGATCCATTGACTACCCCAGGCTCTCCCCAAAAAGATGTTTTAAGGTGAAATAAGTGCTTACTAATCAACTCTTAGGGTTTGTGTGAAGAACTTTGTCGGGTTGTGGAACAAAGGAGTAAATCTCGTGTTTACAACACCACAAAGCGCGTAATCGTTTGATGGTAACAATTTCTTAGTCTTGTTTTTTCTCGACTTTCTGTCGTATAGATATTTACCTGCCGTTTTATCACACCTGTAGAACCTTTGAACAAGCGTATATCAAAGCTTTGATATTTTCTTTCTCTTAAACACAAGATGGTGGGAAGGAGCGTTTTGAGCCGGTGAAGGCATGTGTACTGTAGATTTATTGTTGTACAAAAGAATGCTTTCACAAGATCACACAGTACTTTGATATTTCGTCATGAAGGTCAAAGTTTTTTTTTCTTTTTTTTATAAATTATACTTTTTATGAGATTTTCAAGATATCTGTTTTAAGATAGACTTATTAATACTCTAGGGGTGCCCCCCTCCGTATATTAAACTATAGATAAATTGATGTTCCCCCTATGCAGTAACGTTTGACTTCTTTTTTATTTTATTAGTTTGCTTGTCAGGGGATTTTTTTGTATGGGCATGCCCTCCCCCCTTGTACGACATCAAATACTATGAACATGATTACGGGCGGAAGTGGCCTAGAATCTTATCAAATCCAAGGCATTCATCAACACTGGATGTTTTTTTTTAAGTGTTGTCCCCTCATCCTCCTCCTTTCCCCTTTTCTTGATTTTTTTTTTTTTTTTATTTTTTTTATTAGTACCTCAAAACAGTTCACATTATAAAAGTCTAGACCTTCAGCTCTAAAAGTCTTGGAAGTTTACTCATGACGAACAAATAAAACATGAAAATCGAATTCATCTAAACTACCCCTGAATTTTACAGTTAAAATAGTTTCCAGATCAGGAATTACAATTCTAAATATCGGTATTATGTGGACTGATATACACCTATTTTGATTATATTATTTGTCTCAATGCATAACGATCATGCTGTAAAATGTTTTTCAAAATATCTACCTCTATGTGTTAATAATATTACTAAAAAGACACTCAGCTTAACATAATTTCTGAGTCATTAGTTTTTCTGGAAGTATTCTCTTCAAAAAATGTTTTATAATTCAATTGATTTGATAATAGCGTTGTGGAGAATGAAGTCAAAGAGCATAATTTATACAGAAGTATACATAATAGATTTCGATTTACACGTTTCGTTTTGATCTCCCTAATGTAACGCCGTAACAGTGAACGGAAGACTGCCCCATTCTTAGCCCTGTATTGTGTATTGTCGAGTACTGAAATTTAACGACTTCAGAGTCAAACAATTTAAGCAAAGCGACAAATTAGAAGAGAATTTTGTTGTTAACAAACAAGGGCATAGAGTGGACTAAGTTTGTTTGATGTTTTGTGTAATGTGCACACAATGTTTCAAAATCAACGAAACAATAAAACAAATTTCCCTGAAGATACAAGATACAATTTGCCAGTATCTAACATATGCCCCCTTAATGTCATGACCTTGACCCGTGAGGCAACACAGGTCATAACACTTCTTTACAGTTACGACCTTCGACACCTGAACTCATCATCGACAGTGACTTCTCAGAAATGACCTTGAGTAAAGTTAGAATCATTTAATTCAATGACTCCAAAGTTTCAGTCCGGAAACTCAGTAGGAACATTGACCTTTGAGACATGGCATTGATTAAAGGTCACGACACAGACGATAGCTGCTAAAGCAACAATCCAACAACATAATAAAATCCATTCCAAAATCGATTCTCTTGTTACGACCCGAATATAGAAGACAGACAGACAAACAGACATAAATCTTGAACAACACCAATGCGCCCGTAGCTCTTCTTGACAAGTGAAATTATCACAACGTTAACTCACAATATTGAGAACAATAGAAGCACTCTCAAAGAATGAAGAAATTATCTTGTAAAACTATATCCAATTCCTCTGGATATAATGAAGGGTGCCTTGCTAATGCCAACAGAACTGAAAATTCTATATGGTCTTAAGGTCTTGTTTCTTTTTTTAAATAATGACATTTAGATATTTTCGTATTGGATTTGGTGTTCGAACCCTCCAATCTTCCTCAGATTTTATGAACACCTATGTTATACATTTACAAAATTTATGTTTCAAAATGGGAGTCCAGATAGAAAAAATCAAAATATCTGAAAAAAATTGACAAGCAAATGAAAGAAAAAGTTTTTCCAAACTTTAACATCTGTTTTAGGGGTGGGGCGGAAGGGAGTGTTAGGTTCTATCGTTCCAGATAAACTTTGTTTTTAATATTGTTTTAGATATACAGTGTGCGGATATGTCCATACTGCAACAAAAGGGAGAGGGATGCCATATGTTTATTTTAGAAAAAGTTGGGGGAGATATTCAATGTCCGCATTTCTGTTCAATTGGTAAATCCCATTGCACATCTCCAGTGGATTACATGAATAAATGCACTCGTTGTTTTAAGGAAATTGAAATACTTTATTCATATATGCATAATACTTGATACTATTTAACTTTTTTTTTATTTTGTCCGTTTGTCATCTGCATGACAAATAAATATTTGCTTTCCGACGAAAAGCCCCCCGCGGTGATGTATGCTTTTGCGGAAGAAAATGGACACTTAAATTGACAACCTTACATCCGCATTGGACCCTTGGCCGTGGTACTTGAAAGCTTTGATATTTCTAATATTCAGTTTGCTTATTTCCTTAGTGTTTCATTATTCATGCTACTACGAATGACAAATTTGCTTTAGAGACCCGAAACAAATACCTTCAAAGAATTGATTAAATATTAACTCAGATAGCTTGACAATTGAAAATTATCGGAAAAACATAATTTCAATGTGTGCACATATCGTAAAATGACGAAATAAAATCAAAGCGATCCTTTGAAATCTGAAACTCGGCGTCGAGTATTTTGCTAGAGGATTCGTACGTCTGTATCAAATTCTCGGTTAAAAATCGTGTGATACTAAAATAATATGCAAATGAGTGGCTTTGTTGGTTTAAAACTGATGGTTTTAGGGCGACTTATGGATTTTCTATCTGCTATATCCGCAGTAATTAATAAACCCGGGGACACAAAACATCAAACATAATGATAAGCTGATAATTGTTGTCGCATGTCATTGCAAAAATTTGACGAAAAAATCCTAAAGACCTAAGTCACGTAACGCACGGATAGAGAGAAAAGAGAGAGAGAGAGAAGATTCCAAACCCCTATAGTAATTTAAGCCCATTCATGTACTGAGTTAAATTGATAAATAGGTGTATTCTTTTTTATAGTCTTGTTTCCCCATGGTTATTAATAGCCTGTAGAATCTTTATTTTATTATGTATACCAAGGCATTTCATTCAAACATCTTGTTTATTTGATACGTGTCCACTGTTTAAGACTTTTTCGTCGTACATATCCATCACATTTCGTCTCATCAAGCATGAGCTGGACGCTCGACTGACCAAAGAGAATTGACCACTCCGTGTGAATATTTGGCACAGTTTCACCCTGTAAGTTCATAAATGCCTAACCTATATGTATATTTGGGGTTTTCATGGAGAGTTTGATGGATCTTATCGATTCAAGCTTGAGGCCCAAGGGCCTTAAAGGTCACCTGAGTATAAGCACCCATAAAAAGGCAATTCAATAAGTATGTTTTAAAACAAAATCAAAAGAGACAGACAGGTATACTTTGCATTACTACAAAAGAAATAGAAAGACCACGGATAAATACAGTCTGGTACTCAGCAACATCTCTCAAAGTGTATCAATGTCCCAAGCTTTCAGTGCAGTCTACCCTCTCATTTGACACCTTCACTAAAATTACAAGAATATTGCGTACAAACAATAAACCCATATCTCAATTCATTAAACTTTTTCCTCTCTCGGTCTTTGAATGTACAAATATACAGTATTTTTATTATTTTCAAAGTTGTGCGACCTTGAACTTTTTAACCTCAAAATCAACGGGAGTCTCCTTTTTTCCCATAGGGAGTTGTGACGTAATATTTCATTACAAAAAGGCTAGTGCAACAAGTTTGATACATGTGTGCATCTTCCAATCAAGGGTATGGTGAAAATTTTAGCCATTTTTAACATGAGCAATATCCATGGTTTTGAGCCTTCTTTGTTTTCATCTTCAACAAAAACAACAGAACTTGATTTAAAATAATGTACAAACTTTATTGTGTTTTTCTATTTTTACACATATGGAAATGTTTTCATTTCTACCTAAATGATGGTGAATGATACAAGACTCCATGGCGATGAGAGTCAGTCATCCATGACAATGATACTTATAGTTCAATATATACAGTATATCCTTATAATTAAATATCATAAAATTGTTATAATCTTAAAGCTGTCAACATAAATACACACAACCATACAACAATTACGTAGGAAAAAAAATCACAGATAATTCAAGGAATTTTTCTGGTTGCGTGAACCAGAGGACATCATCTTTACTGGCAGATGTGCATGTTCATACAAAGTGTAAGCAGTTTTACAGGGAAAACATTACCATGAAAACTCTGTATAAAGCCAAACATACAAGCATCTGAGACTGTGTGTTTTCCAACATACAAATAAATACATGATCAATGCCATTATTTCATTTCACAAAAAACAATTGATTTTGTTCATATAAAAATATTCAATACTATCTTGACAGTCTTTCTGATAGAAAAAAAAATATCTAAAAAAAAATTGCCCC